TGCATGAAATTATTTTTGGGTATATGAGTTTCATGAGTGGGTGAATTTTTTTTGTATTGCTTAATTAATTCTAAAAATATGACTAAGAACGCAAAAAGTGCAAGTAACATTAAGGGGTCCAAACTTTGAACCACTCTCCTGACCTAACTATGGGGACCACATCACATTTCCAAGATTGCGACTACCCCCTACATTTTAAAGTTTAAGAATCCAAATATCTATCTATATATATATTTATATATAATATAGAATTTCTCATGCGAGTCTTTCTATATTAACTGATAAGCTTGAAACATATGTTTCTTATCAAGTTTAAGATGTAGAAGTCGGCCTCTCACAAAGAGCCATAAAAAGTCAAGATGAACTAGATAAGGCCAGATAAAATATTATTTTCTGAAGTTAATGGGCAATAATTCGTAGCTAAGGTATGCTAAGATAGTCCCAAAAACTTCCCACCGTCAGAGTGGCGATATCCTTTTAGTGAATTAAAATCTCTAAATTTTATCAATTGAATGACGTTTCATTGAGCTGAGAAAATGCTTGTAACGCCCTCCCTTTCAGAACTTCCCTATAAAATATCGGGACCGCCAAAAATGCGTGTCTTTTTCATATTTCCATGGCTAAATAAATCTGGGCCAACTCCAAACAATCCCTGCATTGGGGAAACCATTATTGTACAGAGCTAAAGAACACTGTTTTCAATACTCAGTATAACGTAATAAAATGCCCTTTTATCAGAAACCGCCTAAGTCTCGTAAATTATCTAGCCTTTAAAGGCATAACATTATACATATATATATGTTTATTCAGAAAAAGTACGTTTTTGTGTCAGATTTCGTAACTTAATTAATAGTTAGCACTTATTATTTAGCATATTTGAGGTCACCCCCATGAACCATTAAGATTGGCACTTAGTTCGTGAAAATCCGATCATTAGAACGAAAGTTATTCAGGGTGATAATTTTTTTTTTCGGACTGTACTGCTGATCACGTAGATTAAGAATTTCAAAATGACCCCTGATTGGAGCTTCCCTGGTGTAGAGGATTCAAAAGCTCCAAGTTCGCCTAAAGAGAGCTTTTTCATCATTACGACCACAATCTAACAAATCGGACATGACGGAACAATTATATCGTTGACGGATTGTTCGCAGACGCTTTTTCATTAGTCCGATATCATTTGCTTACATCGAGAAAAACTGCTGACCGTAGTGAACTACAATTTTTTTTTTATACAAATTATTATTAAAATCTTATGCGAAGAATCTGAGGAAGAAAATAAAAAGATTTTCCTTATGAGTTTTCAAAGCATTTTATTTATATTATAACTTGGAGTAGTGCCATCTACGTTTACTGGAAAACATTTAAATACGCTCTTATCTTTTGCAACTGCTCGTTTTTATAACAATTTTGAAAAATTCAAATCACACATCTTGGATAATAAAAAAATTATATTATTAGCAATTAATTATTTTTAAAAAAAAAGACTGGATTATGAGTTTAAAAAAATACCGAGTTCATTTTTAATTGGCACTCATTTCTTAGTAAAATTTAAGACAAAAGAGTAAAAGCGAATGCAAAAGAAAAGGGTGATGGGATAAATGGGTGCTTATCCGACATTCCGTAAACGGTACGTCGGTGCCGACATAAATGCTATGGTATAGAGTGTGGAAGCTTCTGTTGAATTCCATACCAACTGAAACCAGCAGTAGTGAATTTTTTAAGTTTAAGCAATATCCTTGGTATCATTTTAAAGGAAATTTGTGAATTCAGAAGTTATGCATGGTTATAGTAAAATTTATCATAAATAGAGAGCAATCATGACTTTGATTTATTCTATAAAAAAAAGGTCTATTTTAAAGAAGAATAAGTTATTAAAAATATTACGATTTTACATATTGTTTGATTAAAATAAATTGTTCTTGAGTCTAATTATGCAGTGATTTCTGTCAAAAAAAAATTTCTCTTGTTTTTTAAGTCAAAAATTATCTCAAATATTTATTTGTCCCCTCTGTTACAATTTTTCTGCAAAAAACCTTTTAACTTAATAACTGATTTTTACAATAAAGTCTATTAGTACAATCATGATATGTTTTATTTTTGAGAAAAAAAAGTTAAAAATTTTAAAGTTTCTCATACAATAACAGAGGTGATGTAACAGAGAGGACAAAATTAAATGTCCCCCCAGTTACACAAAATTGAGAGGTTGACCATTTAAAATTAACTCTAGGAATGTATAGACAAGTGCATCATGATTCAACTAGTTTAAACCAGTTCTTCCACTATTAGGGCACACTTTTTATACAAAGCTGTGGCATTTATAGTGTGTTTCGCTTATAGTTAAAAGTTTTTTAAGAATCAATGTGGGAAAACAGCCACAGAAAGAATGAGAGAATATAGAACTAGAATGTTCCAAAAAAAAAAAAGATCTTTGTAAGAAGATGGATAAAGAATATAAAACGAAAATTTTATGATGACAGAAGTATTTTTTTAAAAAAAAACACCTTAGCAGTGAAATAAATTGAAAAAAAAAACACACAAGGGAAAAATAAAAAGGATCTGATACAAGCAGCAGAAATTCAGGAAGGATATTCTCTTTATAATATTCTTTAGAGATTGGGGAAAGCTATAAAAAAAGCCAACCGTGCATTATTTCCAAGAAAACGTTATACTGTTCTACTGTACTCAGTAGCCTTACTACCAAAACAAAAGAAACAGCCTAGTAACAAAGTTCTTGATGAAACAAAAAAGCTTTTAATAAATTTCTACTCATCTGATAAACTTTCTTAACAGACTTCTGGTAGAGCTGAATGCATGATTGTCAAAGAAAATGGACAGAAAGTCCACACATCCAAATGTGCACCTTGAAGTTTCAAAGCAGATACATCCAAACGTAAAAATTGACAAAAAGTTTGCTGTACTAGAACCTGTCTATATTTTATTCGTAGGTAAAACACCATATAATGTGTGTATGTGCTATTCACGAAAAATGTGAATTTACTATTAAAAACATAGTTGTTTTCCTAATAATTACATAGGATTACTAAAATATACCGACTTGCGACAGTCGCTCGATTGACTTTGTTATTTTATAACTATCGTAGAACAGCTGACCCAAATTTGAGTTCATGGTTACCAATGCTCAACTCTGTAGCCTTGTAATTTTGAACCCAATCCAAAAGACAAGGGAACTCCAGGATCAGCACCCCCAGAGGTATTGATTTGTTTTGAGACCTTTGTGATCCGACATAATTAACTTGCACCAGTCACCATTTAAAACCCAGAGATTATTTTGATGTTGCAATAGATAGTTTTTCAAGTGTAAAAAGTTTAAGGAAAAAATAGGGTAGTTAATTTTGTTGCCCAAATAACTGAAATTGAGAAAGAAACAAACAATGCACTTGTTTTTATTTTTAACACGGTCAGGTAAAATAAAAACTTTCAAATATAACAACAAAGGTGTAGCACAGGTTCACTTGTCAGATATTATAGCAATGCTTTCAACTTTAAATAACCGAAGAGTCACTTTTGACAGTGATATTTCCCTTTAACTTTTTGCCAAATTTGTAAGACATCCCCTCTGTTACGATGCACTATGTGGATTTAAAAAAAGAAAAAAATGTGTTTGCAAATTTTAAAGTCGTATAATAATTTATTTTACTTTGAAACGTGATAATATAAAAAAAAATTACAGATAATGTTTCGGATGGTTCAAATGATAGAATTTAGCATAAATAACAGTGTATGTCAAAAATGTGGGATTTTATTTGTCCTCTCTGTTACAAGTACTTTTAATGAACTTGCAATTTAATTATGAGGCTCTTGTATTATTTTATGCCAATTAATTAAACATTGCACTCTAACGTAGCATATTCTAGTAGAATTTTGTTTTCAAAAATATTTAATACAATTTTTTAGAATAAATTACTTGTGTGATTTCCCCTGTTACGCTTGGAATTCAACTTATGCAACGTCCTTTACTTGACCCCAACGACAAACGGGCTCGTTCTGGTGCAATAAAAAAGCTTCCTAAGAGAGTGTAAGAAAGTATTACACAAAATGAATGCGTTTTCAGGTATTCTTATGCTTTCCCTAAAAGTTCACAAAAGTTATTTTGGATCAAGGCTGGCTTTACTCTTCCCAATATGACATTTATTGCACAAGATACCTCGTTTATTTTGTAGAATTCTGGAATTTTAAAAAAAATCATAACAGGATATCTGCGCACCTGGAAAGACATGGATTTCGATATTGAACAAAATTTGTCAGGAATTTAACTATTTTTTTTGAAAAAAAATCGTGGAAAGTCATGGATATAGGTTGTCGAAAAATCTAATATCACAGTGTTCCGAATATTTGAATTTGTAACAAGATCCCTACTCATAGTCATATTTTACTAAAATATAAAATGTTTTAATCATGTTCTCTTTAAAAGTTACGGTGTTCTTTCAAAAATTGAAAGAAAGAACATCATTTCTAGAGCGAATTATCTTTTAAACTTCCTTGATTTTAGAATTTTTTTTTAATCTATTTTTTATTATTTGAACAATTTAAAATTCTAGTTTAAGCTTTTTATATTTCACTTACTTTAAAGAAGAAATAAAACAGCTTTAAATAACTACATATATCTGACTGTATCAAATTATTTGCTTTTGTAATTTTTTTTTTAAGGTATTTTATAGCTTCACCTCTCGTTACTCTGTTTTTAAGTTTAATAAATATGAAGATGCAGAGTATAACAGTTTTGGTTCTACCTATCATTTCAATGAATGTAACTTCGATAAGTCATGAAAAATTCTAAGAAATATTCATGGAAAGTCATAGATTTGAAAACCTAAAATGTAGCAGATACCCTGTAAAAATTTTTATCTAGATAAAAATGCAAAATTTTATCTTATCTTTTAAATTTTTTTTTTATTTATTTCCATTTGTAAGGAATTTTATCCAAGCCCTCAGCAGTCCTTGCTCAAAGTCATAAATAAAATAAAACAAGAATTCCAAAGTCATTTTGAATTTTTTTTATTCATGAGGTGATGTTTTTTCAATGTAATCTCAAAATAAATGCATTCATGATATAATCGTAGAACATTTTACAAATGAGGTGGACAGTTTTTTTTCTTTTTCACATGAGCTTTTATATACAATGGAGGTAGGTTAAGAAATGATTAGGACAAATGCAAGCTTTAGTGTTAAAAAGTTGTTTCTAGTGCAATTATGTTCAGGCACAAAACGATACATTGAATCTTAAGAATTTGAAGTATAATATGAAATAAAAAAATTATAATCACCAACAAACATACCGTCATCAGATTCAAGACATTTTCATTATTTATAAGTTGATATGATTTTCAAAAGTTGAACAGAGTCTAGTGTAGTGGAACACAGATGAATGTTCCTTTAAAGCATTTTCTAACTCCTGTTCATTTGGAGATCTCAGGAATCTTATTACCATTCTGTTTTTTAAAAGGTATAATAGTTATCTGAGAAACATATACATTTTAATGCTGCGATGTGGACGATACCTCATAAACATTTTTTACAGTGTTGGTACTTTTACCAGAACATGACCATCTGACCTTTTAATATGTTTAAATTATTTTTATGCAGTGGTCGGATAAAATTCTAACATTATACACGACCATTGCCACCACTAGGAGAGATATTTTCTGAAACTATAGAAATCTCAAAGTAGTTAGAGGGAACAATACTATTATCTCATAAAAATAAAAAAAAATTGTTTGGCGCATCTTTTCAGACTTAATGTCATTAAACCTTACATCCAATTCACACCTAAAAACAAAATTGGATAAATAATTTCAGAAATTTCGAATAAACAGAGTTGGAAAACTTGGTTTCTTGGAAAAGGCTTTTGAAAGTTTGTATTGGCTTCGGTAATTCCTCTAAAAGCTTGAATTTTGGAAACATATAAGGAAAATATAAAAAGTGAAGATCAATTATTATTGGCTAAGTTCCAAGTCCTTTTAAAATTTTCTCAAATTTCATTAGACATTTGATCAGATTTAAAAATAACTTTTGACATAGTACTTCATTTATACACAACAATTATTAGAATACAAATTTTTTTCCTACCTCCATAATATTACATTTATTTACATACTTTTTTTTAATCATCAATACAAAAAGAACTGAAGTTCAAAGAAATTAAAAATCTCTCAGTTCTAATGAAGAAATGTTGATGAAAAAAAAAAAAAAGAACAAAACAAAAACAGAAATGACTTTTTCAGCAAAATGAAAATTAATTTGCTGATCTACATAATTTTTTGCTTCATAATTTAAAAAATGTAATCACATTATTTCTCAAGAAAAAAAATATTTTTCCCATAATAATTTCCGAAATAGCACAGTACAAATATCTTTTACTTGAGGTACTGACTGACAAAACAATTTATACAGGTCACTGTCTGAGAATTCATATTTTTTTTTTGGCCCATTCATTTATGGGTGTGTTATATTCTAAGTTGAGTAAACACAGCAAATTTCAATTATTCATACATTTCACAGTTGATTAAGAAGTCAGGGCAGTTTTATAGGATAATATTGACCCCCTATTTTTGATTACAAGATATTGCAAATTTCTAAAATTAAAAAAAAGAAAGATGTTCTTTAAAGAATTTTCCACATTTTATATGGAGAATTGGTAGAAAATATTGGATATGTTGTAATTGATCTGATCAAAAATTCTGGTGAGGGGCCAAAAAATTAACACTGTTAAATTCCAGGTCACATAGCTTTAAAAAGCCATTTCTAATAATTAGTTTTTCAAAGCAATTTGGTCAGTTTCTAAAACTCTGCTCCTCAAAACATGTTTCTTCTCTTAAAACCAGGACAACGAGAACTTTTGAGCAGAAGGATTTCAGATACTACATATCAAAATTTTAGTCAAGTCGACTAGGATTCAATTCCCATGTAAAATGTGTGAGATTCATTGTAGATTTATGATATGTTTTAAAAAGTTTTCATTGTTATATTTATGAAATATTCTTTAATAAATTACTCTATATAATTATTATATACTTAAGTTTTCTAAATAATCATAGAATGCAAAGAAAATGTGATGAGAATAGTCCAAAATTAATATAATATATTAAAGAAAGTTAATGAAAGGGGTATAGCTCGTTCACCAGGAGTTGGCACTTGGCTCCACCTCCTGGGAAGAAGAGTTCATTTCAGAGAGGGAGTTAAGAAGAGAAACATCTCCGCCCTTGAAATTGAAACCAGCTTTAGTGTGCGCCAAACATAAATAGTGACTCCTTTTTCAGTCACTTACTTTGCTTTATCATCTTGTATTATAAATTTCGTTACTCTAGATAATTAAATATATTGCAGCAAAATGTCTCAAAAAGGACATACTATTCACTCAAAAGAGAGAAATATCAATAAAATTCATGAAATATTTAATATTAAAAAAATGCTCATAAAGTTAGCGAAATAAATATTTTTGCCATACGATCACCAAATAGCAACCTTGTTCAGGATTGTTCACATCATTCTCCCAAAAAATAGCAAAATAGTATCGTCGCATACCACGTGATGAAGGTGGAGCCAAGTGCCAACTCCTGGTAAACGAGCTATAAATTTTATATCTTCACATCATTTTTTATAATGCATAAACAAATTTCAAGTTTTATTACAGGTGTTGAGCCGCTGATTTTTGTGAAGTTTTTGGGGTTGAAAAGTCTAATTATACACAGGGATATATGGTTGCTACCATTAAGAAAAGAGCTTTAAAATATTTTTGGCACATAAGCTGTTATAATTAATAAATGTATAGGGCGCAAAAAAAAAGGATCACCCTAAATAACTTTTGATCTAATGATAATATATTTACAGTCTAAGACTCACTCTCAATGGTTCGAGGGGGTGACTTCAAATATACTAATTAATTAGCGCAGACAATATTTTAGGTTATGAAATCAGACACAAAAATTGCACTTTCTCTGAATAAACATACCTTTTTTTAACGGTTTCGGGTATTGGGGGTGGCCACAATCTGGGAACTATGGTCTCAATAGTTTGGTGAGGAGAGCGCTCCAAAGTTTGGAGCCCTTAATGTTAATTTTACTTTTAGCCTATTTCGCCATATCTCGAGAACTGTTTAAGCAAATTGAAACATTTTTGCACACACTTATAAAATTTGTTCATTCAAAGATAATTCTATGCAAATAATAAATTTTAGCATATTTATTATTTTATTTAATAATATTTGAAATAATTTTGAATTGTAAGGTATAAAATTTTTTACATAATTTTAGAGTGCAAAATACAAAATTTGGTTGAATAGTTCTTGAGAAATTGAATTTTAAAATATAAGGCCTCTTTAAAGTACTCGGGACCTCTTCAACCGATTCCACTAAAATTTTGTATTCAGACATGTAAAATGACATACTTTAAAATGATTTATATACCTTACAATTCAAATTTTTTCTGACTATTATTAAATAAAACAATAAAAAAAATTTTCTTTTGCATATCTTTGAATAAATAAATTTTTTAAGTTCTCAAGATATTGTAACATTAAAGGGTCCAAACTTTGGACTGCTCTCCTAACCAAACTATTGGGACCATTTTTTCCACTTTGAGGCTATATTTATAGAATCAAAAATCAGAATACATAGTAAAAAGAACTGTTTAATTAAAAAAAAGTATGTTTTTCGCGTTTGATTTTGTAATATAAAATATCATCAACACCCATTACCTAGCATCATTGCGGTCACCCCCTCGAAATAACCATTACGATCGAGTTCTAGGACGTGAAGATCCAATCATTAGATCAAAAGTTATTCAAGGTAGTTCATTTTTTATTTTGCGCAGCGTACAAGCTGTTTCGTAAGTATCAGGCTTAATACATAAATTTAGATTCCATATTGAAAATGAAAGCCAACAAAGAAGGGGGGTTTAAAATGGCAAAAACGCTACTAAAATATGTAGAAACGCTAGTGAATGTTTCAAATAATCATCTTTCAACCTTTCAGAAACATTTCACGTTTAAATATTTTATTAAAGTCTTCAATCATTATGGAACACTTCTGGTCGGTCTTTCCCGTGAACACATAAAATTTCATAAGACAGAATTCATTCAACACAATTTTTGATGCGATTTTGTCCAGCAAACTGCACCATTGGATCTCTTCTTTATACAAGATTGTCCCCCATTTTATGGCACAAACAACTACCGGAGCCGGTCCTTGTCAATTTTTTGATCTTCTAAATAAATAGGCGTCACTCTTGGGGGCTTGAATGACCTTCAAAATTGAAATATAATTAATTATTGAATATATTGTGATTTACAGTTTCTTCTAGGATACTAGAAGAAACTAAATACAAGTATTAAAAGAATAGCTTAAATTTCATATAAGAATTTCACAAATTTCATACTATATAAGAATCAGTTTAAGGATTTTTTTCTTCCAAATGTTGCTTTTCATTTATTTAAAATAATATAAAATTTAAAATTTTTATTTTGCAATTACAAACTGTTTCAATATCTTTTGAAAGAGAGTTTCTTCCTCTTGGGTTGGAAGAAACTTTCTATCCCTGTTTAAAAGATATTAAAATATGTACATTAAAATATATATTAAAATATATATAAAAGAGGCCATTTTTTTTAAAAAATAATCCATTTAACTAGAGATTCACACATAACGATTCTAACACAAAAGTGAGAGACTCAATAAGTCAAAGAGAGGAAAACTCTGACAGTTAATCAAGTGTGCATTTGCAAACTTTCTTAGGTATGTTTATTCAATGATTTTTGTTTCATTTTTATTCCTTTTGTATTGCATACATTGGTTAGCAAAAGGGACAGCGTTGAAAAATAAATAAAAAAGAATAAACAGAACACAAAAAGCGTTTTTAGAGCGAACATTAAAAATTAGGTTCGTAATTTTGGAAAATTTTCTGTAAATATCTGTTTGTGAAAAAATCCACTGTGATCGCAAAATTATCCACCTAGCACAGAAAAAGGAATCCTTTGTATAGGCCGCACAGCGTGACAATGAAACACAGATAGGCCGCAGCTTATCTACCAGAAACTACTCTAATAGAAAGATTAAGGGCCGAGATAGCCTGGCTGGTAGAGCACTGGGCCCATGTACAAGAGTTTGTGGGTTTGATCCCCGCCGGCCGAAGACTCCCCGTGTAGTAAGTGGTGACTGATGCACGTTAAATCTGTCGAGTCGCAAAGTCCTCCATGTTCCAAATAACAAAGCAATACTTCTAAGGGTACTGATCCACGAGTTTCCTTGTCTTCTGGATTGGTTCGAAATGACAACATTACGGAGTTGAAGGTTAGTAGTCTTGAACCCGAGATTGGGTCGGCTGTTCGACGACGGATATAAAAAATAAATAGAAAGATTAATTTAGCTAAATCAAAACCTTTTAAAGGTATCTATCTCACAATGAAATTTTATCGTATCATCGTTCACTTGTGCGCAAGTTTATTACCGTCTTTACTTTTGGAATTGAAAATTTTAGGGATGGCACAGTTAACTTTTCAACTCTGATAAGCTTAAGAAGATCTGAAATTGTATGCTTAAACATTAGTTCTCAGTTATGATTATCTATTGATTAATTGATGAAATAAAAAAAAACTATTTTAAATTAAAATGTTTCATTGAAAAACTATAGTTATATGTTCTACTAAAAGTATTTAAAAAAGTGAGAGGGTAGAAAATCCTATGCATTAAATATGAATCATTTGCATTAAAAACTTGGTATCTAGAACAGGAATTCTGTTGAAAGTTATAACACGAGTATTATAAAAAGTGCAAATATGAAGTTGGGGGAAATATTAGCATTGGTGCATAGAAGTGCAACGGATGAAAGTATTTAACAATTGAACTGAGCTTTGGCAAGTCATGTTTTCCCAAATTTTGCATTTAGATGAGTGGATTTCTGTGAGATATCACAGGAATATCTACAACACAATGATTCACGGAAATATATTTTAATTCCAAAACGCACTGTAGCCAATTAGGTTAAATCTTGAGGTTCTATACTCTATTCTACAACCGTCGGCGAACAGCCGATCCAACTTTTTGGGTTTACGACTACTCATGTTGAACTCCGTAGCCTTGTCACTTTGAACCCAATCCAGAAGACAAGGGAACTCTTGGATCAAGTAATGGGAGAAATTTTGCCTTCGTGGAAGACATTTTGATGGAACTAAACAGCATTTGAATTACATGGAGAGGAAAACCTCCCACAGCTAGCCTGACAGTAAGGGGACTCTAACCAATGCAGGGTTCGTGCTCAATTATTTCANATTAAGGAGTTGAACGTTAGCAGTCGTGAACCCGAGATTGGGTCGGCTGTTCGACGACGGATATAAAAAATAAATAGAAAGATTAATTTAGCTAAATCAAAACCTTTTAAAAGGTCTCACAATGAAATTTTATCGCTCACTTGTGCGCAAGTTTTACTTTTGGAATTGAAAATTTTAGGGCACTTTTCAACTCGGATAAGAAGCTTAAACATCAGTTATGATTATCTATTGATTAATTGATGAAACAAAAACTATTTTAAATTAAAATGTTTCATGGAAAAACTATAGTTATATGTTCTACTAAAAGTATTTAAAAAAGTGAGAGGACAGAAAATCCTATGCATTAAATATGAATCATTTACATTTTGGTATCTATAACAGGAATTCTGCTGAAAGTTTTTAACATGATTATTATAAAAAGTGCAAGTTGGGGGAAATATCAGCATTGGTGCATAGAAGAGCAACGGATGAAAGTATTTAACAATTGAACTGAGTTTTAGCAAGTCTTGTTTTCCCAAATTTTGCATTTAGATGAGTGGATTTCTGTGAGATATCACAGGAATATTTACAACACAATGATTCACAGAAATATATTTTAATTCCAAAATGCACTGTAGTCAATAAGGTTAAGTCTTGAGGTTCTATACTCTATTCTATAACCGTCGTCGAACAGTCGGCCCAATTTTTGGGGTTTACGACTACTCGTGTTCAACTCCGCACCCTTGTCATTTTGAACCCAATCCAGAAGATAAGGGAACTCTTGGATCAAGTATTGAGAGAAATTTTGCCTTCATAAAAGACATTTTGTTGGAACTAACTCGCATTTGAATTACATGGAGAGGAAAACCTCCCAGAGCTAGCCTGATAGTAAGGGGACTCTAACCTATGATTCGTCTACCACTGAAGATAATTCACATCAACACTGTGGTCACTGCAAGCCAGATGCAGAATTCGTATCATTGGAATTCGAATGCTCCCTTGAGCCATCACGCCTCAAATCTTGAGGTTGGGGAATTCTATATAGCAGGGTTATAAATAAATAAAATAAAAAAAACTCTTTATTTTGCAAATAGGTAATAACTTTTAAAAGAATGCTATACCACTTAAAACTCTTTACAGCAATTTCCATTTTACTTCCATGAGTTTTAAAACTTAAAAGTTTAGAGAAAATAAAGTTCAGGTAATCCTAGAGTAAATCATGACACTTCAAATATTGAAATATTTGTTTTAAAATACAAGCAGCATAACTTCCTAAGTTTTCTTTTCATAACTTGTTCGCATTTTGATATTTTGAAAAAAATTTCAGCATTTGGTTTACTCTAGGTTGACCTGAACTCATTTTTTCGATACCTCAAATTACGTATGAAAGAGAATGTGCCATTAAGAATTTTTCTCGCTGTATAACATCCTCTAAAGACTTATTTTTATTTATGGTTAAGAGTTTTAAGAAATCAACTTACGAGTATGATGAATTTGGCACACCAACAACCAGCAGATGATTTCCTTTCATGAATAAACGCCACATACTCTGAAAATGATAAGATAGACCAAAAGAAAAAATGTTAATAAAGTACAGAAATGAATATAGTTTTGAGAATAAGTGTTTGCCCCATCCCAAATAGAATGTCCATTTCTGTATTTATTTTTTAGACAAAAAACAAGAGTGGACTACATAAAATACATATTACAATGTGGGTAGATTTTTAAAAGAAATTAAAGAATATTAATAAACCATAAAACAAATACATGATCATTTCAAAGTATAATTGTAATGAAAATAGATTCCCGAAAAGAGAAAAAAAGAACTTTTCCAGGCCCGTTCATTTCGAGAGCGTGTGACAGTGCAATTTACCCAAATAAGTTAAATTTCATGTAAAATCATTACTAAAATTGCAAACACTTACAGTTTATTATCATTTATTTTACCTGAATGTACTGTAATGAAATGCTTGTGATATTTAAAAATCACAAAACTAACCATAACTATGAATGACAAATCTACACTTACATAAACCAATAAAAATTTTATCCTTTTCCCACTTTGTCAAAATATAAACAAAAACCCAAAGCATAGTAGTTCATACGCTCAATCCTCTCAAATGAGATAAACTTGTGCAAATGTTTAAATGTTTTGGATCAATTTTTTTTTTTTTTTTTTAAGAGCACATATAAGATCAATGGCTTTGAGACATTATTTGAAAATATCATGAGCATCATTTATTGTCTAAAAGAGTTGGCACTTGAATTTGAAAAGAACGTTATAAAGAGGAAAGAATTACTGTATCGAGCTAGTTTTAATTGCTGGAAAAAAAAAGCTAAACATACTTAAAACACGCAATGCTGTCATAAATGAGATAGTTTATATCTATTTAAATAAAATAGTTAGTAACTGAAATATCTAAAAAAAAAACTAAACTCAGTGGCGCGACAGCCCATAGAGGACCTACTGTGCCCATCTCAGTTTTCTTGATATTGGGCTCTGGGGTGCAGGAGCAGATGTTCCGGTCAGGTGGTCAGCCAAATGCGGAACCCCCCAGTGTTTAGTTCCCAAGCATGCTTGGTACTCATTTATCGACCTACTAAAGGGATGAAAGGTTGAGTCAACCTTGCCCGGCCCCGAGGATTGAACCCCTGTGGCACGAGAGCGCGAAGAGCTACCACTCTGACTAACTGAAATATCATCCTTAAATATTCCATAGATTGCACTTTGAGTGGCCACCATTTTTCAAAAAGACGAAAATAAGAAATAAAATTCATTGTATTTTCCCAGTTTGTAAGAAAAAATTCTCTGTTACTTTAGATGATTTTTAAATTCCCTGTGGAGTGCATAATAATTAAAATAAAGCTGAAATCTGATGATGGGCTTCTCTTTTATAGAATTCCGTGAAATGACATTATCAAGTATAAGCGATCCTGAATGGTACTGTACTCTTATAGCAAATTCTTTAACAGAAATTTCCCAAGATAAATTGCATGAAGAAAAGGCTGTTGTAAATTCTAATTCTACATGCAATAGATTAATAAAAAATAAAAAAACTGAAATAGGTTAAAATATTGTAGAGAAAGAAAAAATAACAAAAACTATTTTAAGACAAATACTAACTTTATGATATCCTCTTGCATCTAAATCCCAGATCTTGAAACACTGCAAATAAATATATTAAATCTCCTGATTATTTGAATCACAACAAACATAAAGCGGATACGTTTAATAACACTTATTTGAATGAATTATAAGAATCACCAGCTAAAATTATAGTATAGTTTGTCTAAAGTAAGAACTTCCCTAGCCATTTATCTGGTCCCATGGCAGTGACTATGGTAACGAGGTATAACTTTTTTAAGTAGGGGTGTGGGGTCACTGCTTAGGACTTGTTTCGGCTCAGGTCGGCGTCAGAAAGAGAGCCTTTTTTTCCGGTCTATTGCGTTAGACCTAGAGTGAAGAGAAGCTATCTTCCCTGAAATGCACTGTTTTTAGTTTGCATAGTAGCAGACAGAGTTTGTGGCGGGTGAGTGTTCTTACTATAGACCAACTATACTGTAATAAAGGAAAATAATTATGAATTGTATACTTTATGAAGGATCAAGGACACAAAAATCAGAATATAGTTTTGTTTAACGCAACTTACCTTTGCTATTTGGAGCCAGGTGGTGAAATCTCTGGGTCCATTCATTTTTATGAACATGACATAAACTTCACCCTAATTATAACAACAAAAAAGATTTTTTTTTAATATACACATTAGTTTTTCAATTTTATTAAACAATCGTATGATATGGAATAAATTATTTACTTTAGTTTCTGGAATAAAATTTTCTTCACAAGGAGATTTACTGTGATCTAGAACTACTGCTTTTCTGTAAAATAAAATACATAGTTCATATGATGAATAACGTGTAAAAAAAAGCGGATATGAATACTTTTTTAAACATAAAATGGGACCATAGGTAACTAAAATGGGAGTTCATTTAACCCTTTAACAGAGAATGGAAAAAAGTTGTATTGACGATGACATAAGTAGGATCAAACAGGTATTGTTTTTTTTAGATCTAAACCAATGATTCTTTATTTTTAAGGTTAAATAAAAAACTACGAATTTTAGCTTAAATGCATTTTTCTACAAGTTGTTATGAATGTCTAATCTTTTTTAAATTTTCTGTTTTTCTACGATTGATAACTATTTTATTTTAAAAACACCACATATTTCAGAATAAAAGCGAAGAGCGCTTTATTTTTAAAAAAAAAATTTAAGCAAAATTTAAAATCTATCTATGAGTTGATATTAAAAAAAAGGAATGCTACTTTTGTGGGTAGCTTTCATTCCTTTTGGACTACCCAACCATCTCAGTTTATTTGTTTACTTTCGGTCACAAACAATCCCACCGATTCTTTCCTTCCTTCTTTTGTTATCCCACTCTTTTCTTATTAAACCTTTTCAATTTACTAACCTGTATACGTCATTAGCAGTTCAACTTGACAAGAATTCAAAATAAATCACTTCTGTCTGAATTCTGGAGCTAGAACATTCAATTTCCCCCCCCCCCTTTATCTGCTGTTTTCTGCAGAAAAAATGAGTGGCAAAAGCAAATTTTGCAAATTTTTTATTTACCTTCCAACTGTTATTATCTGTACTTATTCATTACGTACTACAATTGATAGTCATACAAAAAATTTTGTTTTTATACACAATCAATCAAGAATGCTCGAGCCGAGATGGCACAGGGGATAGAGCGTTCACCTTGCAATCGAAGCGGGTTTAAATCCCTACAATGAAAAGATTCCAAAGCTCTACTATTTTTAGAATCATCATCTCAAAAATTTCTAACTTTTTTTAATTTTTTTTTTTTACTAAAATAGGATATATTAAGAGATTTTTGGATTACAAGTTATTTTATAGTTGTAATAGATATCTTAAGTTAATAGTGTTTAACCCTTGCATCGCATATCTTTCAATTTCCACACGCAAGGTAAAAGTAGAAAAATTTGTGCAACCTGCAATTTCGATCTTGAGATTACTAAGATTCACACTCAGTACCAGAAAATCAAATCATTAGAATGAAAGTTTAAGTTATTTAGGTTGATATCATTTTAATTTTGCACACTTTTCATAATACTCTGTGTCCACTAAAATAAAATATTGTAATAAACTATAAATAATATCTGATAAATAAAATGTAAATACCTTAGTAGATCATGAATAACTTCTTCATAATTATCTTTTTTCACGCTATAGGAGAAATATATGAAATCAATATTAAAAACATTAAAAAAAAATTATGTAAGTAATAATTTTAATTTTTTCTTGATTCCGCGCTCTGCATGGTGCATCAATAATTTTTGCTAAGAAAATTGCTCATAATAAAGTTGATACAAACTATGATGAAATTTTATTAAAATATTTAGTAGCAAAGATTTTACCTTAACTACATTGAAGTAAGATAACTAATGTATGAAGTTCTCGACTTTTAATAGCATATGTAACTATAATATAGAGGTGTTAATTGTGATTATGAAGCAACTGATAATAAATAAAATTAGTTGAAAACATAGAGAAAAAATGGAAAATATTAAAGATTAATGAAAAGAGAAGAAAAATTATTAAAATAAAATAATTAAAAAAATATATAAATTAAAAAGAAAGAAAACAAAAAAATGTGTGTGAAAAGATATCATCTCTTTATCAGCTCACACGATTAAAAAAATTTTTACACAATGTTTTCAACTTAGTTTCATTTTTTTAGTGCTCCTCACTATTGTATTGATATATTTTATTTTGGCAATATTGACACTATATTAGAAAGCACTACTTTTTGCGGACATAATCGTGTGAGCTGATGAAGAGATTATATCTTTTCAATTTTTTCTTTGTTTTCCAGCTTTTTAATTTATACGTATATATTTTTCAATTATTTCATTTGGTTTTAATAATTTTTCTTCTTTTCTTTTCATTATTCTTTAATATTTACCATATTTTCTCTGTTTTTTAAACTGATTTCATGAGTTCTATATACTTGAAGCTTATGCAGAGTAAATAACTTATTAAATGTTCTCTTTTTATCCTTATTGCTTTTATTGCACTATATATAAATATATATATATATTATAAAGAAACCATAATTTCCCTTAATGCTATCATACAATAAATGCAAAACATCTTGAATCCATTTTAATTTAAGGAAAAGTGACCTCCTAAATTATCATAAGAATTAGGTGATCATAATTGAGGGTCATTTATAATCTGGGTAACTTTCTTTTCAAAGGATAGAATAAATTTATCAATCATTATTTTACTTTAATATTTTTGCTTAAAGAAAAGAATTTTTAAAATTGGTCAAGAATTGTTCAATAATGAGTTAATATTTATGGTATTTTTTTAACACCTACGACAATATAACCAACAGCATAAAGAAGAATTTATGATGCAAGGAAAAGAGAATCGATCTTTGAAAGGTGAGCAAAAAGGATTTGATTTGAGGAAAGGCATGTACATAATTTTTTATTTTATTGATATGTGCGGCATTTGAATGATAAAGATATTAATGTTGGAATATATGAAGAAATTAAATAATTTTGAAAAAAAAANATATTTCTTTTGAATATGAAGTTCTAATAAAAATATATATATATATATATACATACATACATACATACATACACACAATTAAAAATTATCTTTAACGCCACTTTTGGTATTTTAATCTTCAGAACGACAGGAAAGTAGAACAAAAATTATTAAAAAAACAAAGTAATAGTAACATTCTATTAACAATATTACATTTATTTTAAATTTAGTACTCCTAAATCACACATTTAAATAAAGATTCATAAAAGGATTAACCTGTCTAAGTCCTTGAGTTCAATATTTGGCTGAGTATTGAAGGCATGTTTCTTGAAGTAAATGTCTTGAAAAAAGGAGTTCATATTCAGTCCAGATGAACCGAAATGATATGTTCTCGAGACATCTGGGACGACGCATTCACGCCCCTTTCTCACATCTGGCAACCTCATCCACATGTCCCAGTCCCACAGCTACATAGAAAATTCATAAAATATGGAAAATTTTCAACAAAAAATGCATACAAATAATAGGGAGCCGTCTACAGAGCCTGGCTTAATTATTAAACGTATTATAAGATTCTGCCGCATCTTTTCTTTCACGCTCAATTCGTCCCGACTCAATTTTCATCTTTATGAGTCGTATGCAGGGCCGGATTAACCTATAGGCACACTAGGCACGTGCCTAGGGCCTACGAAAAACTTGGGAGAAAAAATTTTTTTGACAAAAATAATTTAGCTGTAAAAACAACAAGTGTATTTTGCACAAAATTATGAAGATACAAATAAAAATATAATATTTTCCGGTAATAAATTATTTTGCAGAATCTTATGATCTAATATATTACTTTTTTGCGATTTTTGGATTCAACGAAATCTTGTATTATGCTGTCGAATTCCAAACTACGCAAAATGTCGTATTCAATAGACACAAGTGCGAGCGATTCCAAACGATCTTGATTCATTGTTGAAGGCAAATAATTTTTTTATCAATTTTTATCTGGAGAAAGATCTTTCTCCTTCTGCATTTGATCAACAAATATATTCTTACTGCAATGTGAACGTTAGGAAAAGTATTCACAAGTTTATCTTTAATTTGAGCCTTCAACATTTCTTATGCAGATTTATGTTCATACAAATTTGAAAATAGTAAAAATTCATCTACAAAGTTTTCCTCTAAATCGGATGAGTCAATTTTCACCAAATTTTGCGCTTTTAGTTTAATCTCAGATTCTGACAAATTTTTGCGAACAAGAAAATTGAAATTATCATACAAAAAAAATATATTCTGAAAAAAGGGGAGGAGTGGGGGAAGGAGGGGAGGGTCCAAAAATGGCTACGTCTAGGGCCTACGAAAGGTATAATCCGTCTCTGGTCGTATGCTAGCTTCAGAAACCTTCAAACGTGATATTTCACGGTTTGAAAATATCACTTCAGCTTTTTTACACGGCGAAAGATCACCTTTTTTACCCATGATGAAAATGTTCCAATTGATCATTTATACACTGCACACAAAATAAACAAATAACAACATAGTATAAAACTGCGAAAAAAATAAACACAGTGCATAAAGGTACAGAAACACGCTCGCAAGTGACGCACACGAGCAATTGAAACCAGTTTGGACTTGTTTACATTTGTGCATCAATGGGTTAACATTGTAAGGCAATATGTTAAAAATAAATACAAATAGGAAGAATATAAAAAATCTCCTGAATAAAAACCCATGACATGTATGTTTAAATATAAAAGTTATTGCACAGAAAGCTCATGCAGAACATGTCATTATTAAGAAACTACAGTGCGTCTAATAATTTGCCCAGGGACTATAAACTTAAATAGTCATTAAAATACAATTAAAAATGATATTTTATTAATAATTTTGCAGATTTAAAGTAGTTTGTCAAACAAATAAAGTTGCATATAAAAAGTGAGAACTGGTGATTTTATTTTTAAAAGCTCTCACCACATCATTGAGTTAATCACAGATATTTAAAAATTGGATAAACTACAAGTCATTTTTTAGACAGATAATATAAGTTAGTTTAACAACCACAATGATATATTTTGATTAAAAGAACTTATATTTTTTAAATTTTAATAGTTATTTTTTCAGAAAGTTTTACACTCATAGAAAAAGAAAATCCAAATTAATTTAAAGATGGAAGTTTTCAGAAAGATTAAAAATGGGTTACCTTCTCAGGAGTTGGCCAGCGTGGTTCTAATTCTTCTTTATAAAGACTTCTTTTTAAAATCCATCCTAAACCTGGCATCGTTTCAACCCTGTACAACAGTCCAGAGTCTTCACTGGTATGCTCATAGCCCTAAAATCAAACACAACAGGCATTATACAGACTGCAGGACGATTCTCTTTTTATGATTTGTGCAGAGAGATCAAATAGTGACTGAAACTATGTTAGTTCTCTTCAATTTAGCTTTCTACTACTGGGTAGGTCAAAATGAATGTACAAAATTAAGTAGGGGGACTTTGTAGTATGTGTGGTGCACAGAACCTTTTTGAGTGTTTGCAGAACAGGTTGATTGAACAGCTCAAATATTTAGACCTTTTGACTGAAACTTTTTTCTCCTCAGCTTCTTTAATAATCAAAAAACAAATGGCCAAAGGTGTAAATTTTTTCATGATTTTCATACTGATGCTAAAAGAAGCTGAATTATTAAAAATTTGCTTTATTTTATCAAGATGATTCATTTCAATGAACGCTAAAAAAAAAAAAAAAAAAAAAAAAAAAAAAAAAAAAAAACTGAATAGTCACAAACTCTCTAATTTTAATTGTTTGGTGTTTGTAAAATTAAAAATTTTCATGGCTCCCTAAGTTGTATGACTAAAGCTACAATTTACTCATTTACATTATTAAGAAATTTTGCTTAGAGAAAAAGTTAGAATAGAAAAACATATGAGACTCAAAACTTTCGCTCCTTACTTTACATTTAGAGTTTATGAGCAAGTTTTGAACATATTCCTCACAAATGTTTGTTATAGGGGATAGACATCAAGTTTCATGCTGATCAGTCATGTTATTAAAAACAGAGGAAGACACAGGTGCAAACCCTAAGACAATAGCATAAGGTGAGATTTGGAGATTGTGGTGGCTATGCATAGTTTGTGGTAGATACTGTAAAGTAAAGCTGAGATGACGTTCTTCATAAACCCTCATAGGTTATTTCCTAACTTCGCTAACTTTTTGCACTCAGAAACCTGAAACGTTATTTCAATGAAAAACAAGTCTTCGTATTTCTACCTTAAACAGCATTTAAAAATTTGCACTTTCTTCAGTTTTTGGCACAAAGATTTCAATTTTGGTTACTGAGATATTAATGCTTAAAACTGTATAATTTTAGTGTTTTTCCTCAGCATTGATTGATAATCAATAATCTATTTTGGTTTCCTATAGGGAAGAGGTTGAGAGGGCCAGGTATGAGGCTCTAATTTCTCTATGCGTAAAGCAATTAAGTGAATGATAAATGTTGTAAAAGAGGAAATAATCTTTTGAAATTTTTATAAACTATTGTTAACACTAATTGAAGTTAAGCTCAAAATTTTACAAAAAAAAAATTTTTTTTTTGTTATTAGTTTTAAAATTACATACTTAAAAAAAACTCTTTATTGGTGAATTTCAAATATTCTTAGATTTTACGTCAGTACTGATTACATTAACTGATTATGTCACGTTAATACTGACTGTCGGATAAATAAATCTAAATAAGTAATTTTAGAAACTGAATTAAGCATTGATTAAAATTTCAAATGATATATTTTTTACCTAAAAAGTATTTCATCTTAAGAATAACAAATTAAATCCTTAATTCTAAGTTGTTATTCGAAGTGATTGTTGTACATTATGACATTTGAAGTTATAAAATGGGGTAATAGAAAATATTAGAGATAAAAAGATTTTTTTTTTAAAAATAAAAATGCAAAATTAATTGCATTTTATATCAAAGCAAAACATTTACAGTGTTCAATGAAACTTAAAGTGCTGTTTCATTAACATTTTAAACAATCCTTTCATTACTTTTCATGTCTGTCATAATCACACCAATTGGAAAACATGTACACAGATACATTTATTATAACATACGAATTAGTGATAATATTTAAACGTAACTTTAATGTCAAGTTAAAATATCTTACTTGGTCATTCCAAGCAGAGATGCAATAAATTGAATCATCTTCTTCCAAAAGTCTAAGGGTTTGGCTAAAGTAACTGAAATTAAGTTATAAATGTAAAGTTTAAAAAATTGAGTATACAAATGAAATAAAATTAAGCTAACAAAACCTGTTGATATAAGAAAAAAGGTTGAAAATGATAGGTATAAAAAGATGCAAATTCTACTCTATGAATATCCATTATTCTTCCAGTAACACAATATTAAAACGAATTTTTTAAAAGTCGAGGATAAAAATATACTAGAATGAAAAATGCTGTTTTAAAGTAAATCTCCATGAAGCATATTATTTTCGAGAAATAAAGACATTGACTTAAAAGAAATAGAATATTATCAAAGGTAAAAAAAGAAGAAATTATATTAATAAATTGAATTTTATATTTACAGACACAGCAGCACTAAATTTAAATCAGAAATAAAACAACATTATAAACTAAGCCAGGTACAAAACTAAAAAACTGAGTTCATTAAATTTATTATTTCCCCGAAAAGAATATAATTATTTCAGGCATGTAATTATTGATGTGCAACTTTTACAATTTCAGAAAATGCTCAAAGTTCGTGTTCTTTTTAATTTATATCATATTATGTAAAATTTGTCTAGAGATTATATAGTTTTTTTAAGAATGGTGCTTAGTTGATGTAGTTTACTATAATCTTTACATGTGAATACAATGCATATTTTTTTTTAAAGTTTAAATTACCATAACTTTTTAAGCAATAATGTAAATTTATAGAAAAAAAAATTCTATAGTTACATATCAACTTTTAATTGAAGCTACAAAGTTTCGCTTTCTAACAAAAACTGGGTTTTATCAGACAAATAAAAAGTAATAATTATATTACAAGAATCTTATTAATATCTACTGAAATCAAGTCTTTATGCTAAACCTAATCTTCACATGAAACTGAAATCAAATCTTTATATTTCATGAGATTAAAAAGCCAAAAAATTATATGATTAACATGAAATGCACAAACCTAAAAAAATCAGGAGAAACATCTAAATCTTCTTCAATTATTATTGCATACTTTGCTTCCTGCAATAAAAAAAAGTCACTCTGATAAGAATACGTTTATTAAGTGGTTATTGTAAATAATTTATTGTCAACAACACTTACGGAAAATAAATTAAAAGTTGCTGTTAGACTAGCCTTATAATGCTGAGATATTCTTGCATTTTTGGCACCAATTGGAGTATGCTATCAAACAAAATTAAATAAATGTTAGTTTCATTTTTAAAATCAATATACAGGTTGGTTATAAGTGAAATCCAGGTTGAATATAATTAGGAGTCCTAGAATTAGCATATGTTTAAAGGGACCTTTATAAAAATAAAAATAGAGAATTTTTATTTATTTATTTATTTATTTTTTTAAAATCTGAAAACATCATAATGCGATGTGAAGAGAATTTGTGTATAATGCATAAAAATTCGTTCAAATCCCAGTTCACTGTCTTGAGTATGGTTCACGGGGCTGACCTTGAATATGGTAATCAGTTGGTGCAGATGATATTTTTATTTACAAAATCAGACACAAAAACATACTGTCACAGAATAAACATACCTTTTTTTAAACCCTCAAAACACAATGGGTAGCTTCAACCTGGAAATTAGGGTCACAACCATCTGGTGAGGAGAGCATTACAAAGTTTGAACCCATTAACGTTAATTTTACTTCCTGAGTATTTTGGCATATTTCCAGAACTTTTTAAGCCAATTGGAAAATTTTTGCATGCAATAATAAAATTCCTTTAAAATAAATTGCATGAAAAAAAAACAATTATTAACAATTTGCTTCTATAATTTTGTTTAATAACAGTCGAAAAATTTTGAATTGTAAGATATACCAATTTTTTTTATATATAATTTTAAAGAATGTAATTATACAGCAAAAAAGTTTTTTGAATAAAATCAGCTTGAATTTAAAAAAAATAATTTTATAAAGTAATATTATAATTGATTAAAAAAATCTAACAAATTAAAGTATCTGTAGTATGTCTCTGGTTATCGCTTCATTCTGTCACACTTATTTTATTTATTCATAAAATTTCATTTCATTAAATAACTCCATAAGTTACTATTCTTACTTTATGAAATTTCTAATAGAAAATAACTTCACACAGTGCAGTAACTCTCACCTTTTTCCTGACGTTTATTCGAATCCTAACTAGAACGCAATCTTTGCTGCCATTCTTAATATACAAACTTTACAAAATAAAGAATCCATACAATAACATGTGATGTCTGATGTATAATATTCCACAGAATGGTTAAAATTTCTTTGTAAACAAGAGAATGATACCTTTTTCAGTCAACTTTTTAACATTTGCACAATTCTCTCTCGTCGGTGGAGCATTAAACTTCCATTGTATTCTTTAAGTGGAACAAATTATTTGATTCCAATTGAACGCTTTCATAAAGGTTTGAAGCACGACAAAATTTCTGTCATTGTTACTGCTTTAGATTGACCACGGCGAGCTACGGCAGGGTAGCTACTCAAATAAAAGTCTCAGACTTTTCCAGAAATATTTTTAAAAAATTCCAGTCCAATATGGCACTACATACTGACAGTACCATGGTTAAAATATACAGTGAACTACATAAAAATTAATATTTGTAATTTATACAGTATATTTCATATCCATTAAAAAAATAACACCATAATACAGAGAAAATATAGTATTAAAGACAATAGTTTGTGATAATTTTATTTATTTAGTTAATATAATTTAATGAATAGTATAAAAATTTGTTTTAATTTTGTAATTTGGGAGTCAATAGCAGAAACTTCTGTTAAAATATTCCTGTTTTAATTTTTGTTTAATTTTGTAACTGTTTTATTTTGAATTCATGTTTAATTCAGTTTTATACATTGCTCTTGCATGATGGGAAACATGCAAAAATGAACAAGGGTGACATTTAAAGGAGGAAAAATCGCAATTCTTCATGTCAATAAAATGCTACTTTTCTACATACATTTATAAATACTTAAAAGATAAAATTATGAAAAATAATCTCACTTTAGAAATGAATCCTTAATTCGTCATTATTAATAAACTTGCAAATAATAGTAATGCAAATTAAACAAAATAAATTATCTGAGTTTAATAATAATTAATAACATATTTGATAATAATAAATGCTATAATAATTTAGTAGTATCTCTGTTTATTAGTATTACAGATACTAGTTCATAAAAAAAATCTTTTTAAGACAACTAAAACATCTTAATCCCCTAGACATTTTGAATTCAACAGTAATTAAAAACTTATTTAATCAAATAAATAAATAATATTTTTAAAATTGAAATATTCAAACTATGACAGGTGGGTAGGATTGTCCTCTTAGTGATAAATAATATTTTTTCCTATTTTATATTAATAAAAACTACTATCTACATTTTTATATTAATTAAAAAAGTAAATCAAATTTGTTAAAAAAGTAGGGGAAAAAAAAGATCCAACCATTCATTATGAAGAAAAAAATCAAAATGAGGAGTTGCATGTGAGAGTGTAAATGTCCATCTCAGCACATGTAGACCCGAAAGGATTTCATAAACACGTATGGAACATTGTGACGAGATATAGATGTGAATCAATAGATTTAAAACAATAATTCACGGTCAAAAAGTTCACACATCAAAATACATGTACCTGTATGCCACGTAAACCAAACAATTTTGTCACTTCCAAAGGCTCCTAAATAAACAAAACAAAAAATTAGACTTCCATCAAAAGTAAAACAGTGATAAGAAGGAAATATGAAATGCACTTACCTCAAAATACCCATCTATAAAAACAGTGATCATTTCAGGATTACAGCCGTGAGCCGATAATAAGGAACGTAACATTCTAAAAGCAAAACAAAATAGAAGCTTTTGCTGCAGTAATTTAAAGAAATTTTGTATAATAAATCAGTTTGTTTTTAGAAAATAAATACAGTCGAACTCGTTTTTAACGAGCTCTGATTTAACGAGGGAAACGAGAATATTTGGTTTGATCAATGTTAAGTCTATGGAACAGAAGTCGCTTATAACGAGCAATATTTTTCTGTCTTGCAATATTTTTTCTCATCTTTTTTTCAAAATGATAGTAACGAAAGTAAGCTGACAAACAAATGAAAGTAAGATTCAAATGAAAGTAAGCTGACAAACTATTTTAAATATGTAGATTAATGAAAAAAATAAATGTTTTGGTAAGTATCTTTTCCTTTATTTTTCTTTCCGTTTATATTTCCTTTCCTTTAAGACTGTAGCGCAACTAGAAATTTTTTGCTGGCTTGGGGGAGGGGGGGTTAGTTGTCACTAAATTAAGATAAGTATTTAACTAAATTAATTAATGTAATTAAAGTAAGTAAGTATTAATTAAATTTTAAGTCAACTCAATAACTTGACCTCCCAAGCCCCCCCTCTCTCTTCTGGTTGCACGTCTGCCTTAAGGACCCGTTTATTACGAGCACTCGGATTTAACGAGTACATGTTACGCTCCCTATGTGCTCGTTATAAACGAGTTCGACTGTACAATCAAACCTCTTTCTAAACAAAGGCAACTTTTGAGGAATCTTCTATACAATTAAAGAGCATCTTCCATATTATTTACATCATGGGAAACCTCTGAACTCATTGCCTACATGAATTTTGTTTCAAGGTGTATCTTAGTTAATTTAATTCCCTTTTTTTCCCTTCATCTTTAGCTTGCAAGGATTTTAAGTGATCGAATACGAATACCGGCCATCTTTTAACACAAAGCCTCAGATCAGTTTCATTGCATATTACAATATAAAGCCAAACAGGAAATTGAATCAAATATCACTGATGATAAAAAATTAAAAAGAATTTAATGTTTTTTAACTAATGAAGAGAAAGACTGACCTGTATAAATAGTGAGGTCTATTGCTGGCAATGATAGCCACAGGAACATCTTTAACACGATTATTTTGAATCTAAAGAAAACAATATTTTTATAAATGCAGTAAACCAAAATAAAAAGTCAGAAAATGAAGATTTTGTCGCTTACTGCAATACTTAAATATGAATATTAAAGAACATATTAACAATAATGTATTAAGAGAAAGATGTAACAAATCTAATTATAATTAACAGAAAATCGATTTATTGTCATAGAAAATCATGAAAGACACACAAGAAAAAAAATTAAATAAATAACGAATGTAGTTTAGAAAATTAACTTTTCCTAATGTACACAAAGACTATTACTACAGATAAGATGTAATGCCTAACACTAGAAAGATTGAAAATTAGTATATACACCTATATTGCACAAAAGCAGTAAAAATGACTGGATTGTGAATGCGTAAATAAATTTGTTAAAAATTAATTTTTAACATTTTTTAAATCATTTACCGTTATATAACAAGTTATTAGTAAATATTAACAATAAAAAAATTACATGCTGTACAAAAAGTCACAAAATTCCAAGAAATTGTGTCATTATATATATTATTGCTTTTCTAATTTGCTTTAAGAAAATAGACATTAATCAGAAGTTAAAATATAAAAAAATAAAAAAAGGTATTAATATCATAATTTAAAAATATAACAGAATTAATAATGCACAATATTATAAATAAAACTTTTTTCTTAATACCTTCCCTTAGCATTTATTAAGAATTCAAAGATAAGTAGAAATCCACATTTTAAAACATACCAAATATTGGTTCAGAATGGCAGCGGCCCTTTGATTTTCTTTTAGGATCAAAATTATTTTAAATATAGTTTATTAACAATCATAATATAGCCTTACATTTCTAATTTTCCATGAAATAAAAATTTTTTGCAAACAGAAATCTAAAATCTTATAAAATGAAAATTATTAGCTTAATTACTAACCAACTCCATTAATAATTTTTGCTAAAATTATCTATGGCATTAAAATATATATAGATACCTTTGTGACTGATATAGATATGTAATATAATATTAAAAAAACAATATTAGCATTAACTTTTTGTTGCTACATTGCATTGCTTATGTCACAAACCATTTTCCCTCATCTGGTAGTTTGCAAAACCCCCAGCACGTTTGTGAGGGGTTAAAAGGGCTCACAAAAATGAAATTGTAATGGCAGAATTTTCAATGACTAATCTAAAGAAATATCTATAGGTAATTACATGTATATCCCTGAGCAAGTGATCGGATAAAGTATATTCAAACGCACCCTCTTAGAACAATTATTCTTATTTTATAGCAAAATATTTGTTTCTTAAATAATGAATATTTTCAAATTTCTTTTTAAATGAAACTTTTGATAATAGTTTTGAATTCATTTCAGAAAACAAGAAAATTCTGTAAAACCAAAATCAAATAAAATTAAAGTTGATATGCCCCATAATTAAACCTTTTTATAGTTCTACTACTTAATAATTGCAGGTCTCAGCAATAACCAAATTTTAAGTAAAATTAAAAGCATATTTATGACAATGCAAAATATGGCACACAAAAAAAAGTTTCCTTAGAGAACAAAATTTGATAAACTAGTAAAGAAAGTTTTTCAGAATTTATAAAACAAAAATTCAATTGATCAAGTCGTCCAAATGAGCTGTCGGTGAAGTGATTGTCATCGCTGCCTAAGAAAAGTGTACAATAATTACTGTTGATTAAATCTAAATTTCACATTGAACATAAAATTTAAGATATAATTTAAATTTCTTGAATAAATTAAATACGAAAAAAAAACAAAAACATTAACACATAAAAACCACATAAATAATTTTATATTATTATATTTTATGATTAAACTAATGTTAGGTTAACTTTATGTAACATTTAAAGTCTGACACAGTTCATCTTTACCTAAACATTTTACTACTATGATTTACTATATTAGATTTTCTTTATTTTTATTACCACTCATTTCTAAGTTACTCAACGCAAGTGGATAATTTATACAAACTTGCACAGTTTTATATCAAGTGTTCCTCGCATCGGGCAAAACCCCGTGATACATAAAATTCAAAGTTGCTTTATAGAATTTAGGGATGAAGGGTTCCATATCTACTTTTGTTGGACACAATCACATGTTGGCATGCGCGGGAATGACATTGCGGCTAAAACCACTCAAATAACAAGCAATAACTTTGTAACACCTCCGGATTTTAAACTAAATATGTAAATGTACAACAGGCTTGGAAAGAACATTGGAATAAACAAATTAATAACAAACTGTGGGAAATTTATCCTAATCTTGACAACTTCAGAACAATACATATTGATCGCAAAACCCAGGTTATAATCAATAGATTGTGCATTGGTCATTCTCGCTTTGCATGTACTAAAATTTGAACCTGCACCTAGTTCTTCCCTATGACGTGTTGACATTACTATTAAACACACTTTAACTGACTGCGAACGATTCAAACATTTATATGAGGAGCAAACTTTTTGGCAGCTTTTATCCTAACATTCAATCTTTGCTTGGTGACCCTATACATCACAACCTTTTAAAGTTTATCAAAACTATAGGACTTTTATTCTTTACTTTATGAAAAAATACATCAGTTTGACCTAGATTAAAACCTAGTGACTGGCACAGTATAGCCATTTCTGGCTCTTGTGCCAATAAACTCCAACAAACCAACTAACGCTAAACCTAGCACCATTAAGGCCATTATAATGCGATCTCTTGAATTGGTATTACAGATTGCATTAAGTAGTAAAATTTATTATCGTCATATAATGTTTAAACTTTGTGAATTTTTGAAAATTGAGACCAGTATGTCAAGTAGTCTTTTACTTCACTACTGAATTTAAGTTCCATTACGGGTAATTTCAATGTCCCCCCCCCCCACTATAACCGCAAGCATAGGAATCTTAGTTAACACTTTTTCAGTTCAAGAGTTCTAAGAATCCATCTTCACAGGTTTCTGCAGCCTTGAAATAGTCTCCTTATTTGACTGCAACGGTGCCTTGGTGATGTTTATCTAGTCCTCTATCAAACAGGACAATTTGTCTTTCAGTTGCATTACTAAAACTGAGGCGACTTTTATATCTTGCATCTCCTTATTCAATTTATTGCCTAATTTGTTTGCACAAGGAAGTTTGAAAATTCTTTTGATGAACTTTTAATGGCGATAATTCCATTATTTTTATTAATTAACTGGCTTCATGTTGGGCAACACAGATCGTATAGCTAAATTAGCGATTTTTAAATTTTTTTAAACAATTTTCTAAATATTTATGTAATTTGTCAGTTTTAAGGTGCATATAATTCTTTACAGCAAAATGGTACATAAATAAATTAAAGATATAGTTTTGAACTTAATAAAAATCACTGCTTTTATAAATTTACTTTATATATAGGTACATATTTTTGCACCTTAATTGTGGCCTTCTTATTTTACTTGGCAACAAAGACTTGAAAACACTGTTAGCAGAGAAAACTCACTTCTTTTGGGGTGAATGCAAGGGGCGCAGGATCAAGGCAACTACAGACGCTGCCGTACCCTTCAATGTGGTTACAGAAACCTCTTCTTCTATTGTTTTCTTCATTATCTGCCCAATCACATTCACTCTCTAAAAAGAAAATACAAATATTTAGAAAACAGATTCAGGAGAAAGACTTATTTTTCCTTTAAAAAAATAAATGAATAAAGGATAGGGACTTATTCCCATGTTGGCAGTTCTGGAATTAGCAATTCCTTTCAAATCCCCAGAACCAGGATTTTGATGACCAAAAATCCCTGTAAATGCCTTTAAAAATGTAAAAATAAAGTCTTTAAAATATAAAAAAGCTTTATTATTTAATTTTTTTTTTTAGCTAATACAATGTAACGCATGCTAAAATAACCACACAAAAAAGAGAATTTACTGACTTCTAAACATAATAAAAAAGAGAAAAAACGAATATTGAAAAAAACTAAATTATTTTTTATGTTGAAAAAAAACCCCCATAAAAAGTGGAAAAATGTCCAAAAATGCAAATATCATCAAAATGTGGGCCTTACAGATCACATTGCTATACCCATTTGGCTTCGTCATAAATGTTTGTTCATTCAAAAAGTAATTTAAAAAAATTTAAAATCATAACAGACAATTTTAGTTACCAAACATCTTAAATGAATTCAAAAGACAAGTATTTAAAAGCTTGAATTATTAAACAAGACATTTTTATTTTGTGATTGCTTATAAAAATTATTAAAACATACAATTTGGATAGAAGTAAGAATCTTATCTCTTGCATAAATGCTGCATTCTTGGAAAAATCAAGCCATAAAAAATTAAATTCATTACAATTTCAACAAAAACCAACCTTTTAATACACTGTAGCGTAAATAAGTAACAAAATCTTTCAATTAGCATTATTTTTTTTAATAAAAAGTTTGAACAGAGTTTTTGCAGTTCCATTCAGCTGATATTTTCATTTCAAATTGCTTTAAGAACAATTGTTTACCTTTAAATTAAAAAATAGAACCATGTGTCTTTGTATAAAACAAAATATATTTCTAACAAAATTTTCAAACTATTTTTAAAAAAGAAAGTCAAAATACCTGGTAAAAGAGTGAATTTATGATTCATTATTAAACTTTAATCTAAAATATCATAGAAATAAATTTTTACAATCTTATCGGCAATTTCTTTTAACTAACTAAAATTTTTGTTCTGAACAATTTTTCTTTTTGATTGCAATATATTTATTTTCAAGATAGACCCAGAAATATTCCAAAAATGCTTGTATCTTATCAAGACAACACAAATAAATTTTTTAAAAATTCCTACTACATTACCCGGCCAAAAATATCCGTACATCAATTGGTACGAACATCAGAGCGTCCAGAAGCACATATTGAAATGATGTTGGTCACCCCCTTTAGCCACGATGACAGCCTTCTGTGGAAGACTTTTCACTCATTTTAGGATTTCCATTACAGCTGTGCTTGCAGTGAGGATGGCTACGTCATGGGGCTCTGAGAAGGCCTTTTTGAACACATATTTCGTCAAACCACGTATGTGCAAGCCTCGATGCGTGAATGTAAGAGAAATGGGCCTTCATAGAGTTGGGAATGCAGTATTGTCCGCAGACATCTCAGAGTTCCAACCGCAAGAACTGACAGGCCAAACCATGAGAAACACCATCCCCCACACACACATCATTATACTTCCACCCTCATAACAACCGAATACTTTTACACAAATGTATATTCTATACCAGTTCCACTAATTTTTATTTAAAAAAATAATAATTAGTTTAGCTTATACTTTTTCCTTCTTCAATGATGAACTTTCATTATGCAAGACATTTTAAGTCAAATACTGTGGAATGCTTCTCAAATCTAATTAAATATGAATTTTAAATCGACAAAGGATTACGAGTCACTGTGGTTATTAGTATCAAGTATACTTTTCTTTGCAGCTCTTTCAAAAATATAGAGAAATAAACTAGAATACATGTTATAAACTAATTCTAGAAAAAGCCAGTTTGACTATTCTGAGAAGAATGGAGGTCAATCAGTAAGACTGTTGAACAATAAAAACAAGGTCTTTTTCTTTTTAGGAGCAAGCAATATTTAAGTATCCAATTGGCATTATCTTGTCTTACACACTAAAGACATGTTAAAACAGGAAAAAGATACATAAAATTGCGAAACCCTTGCAAAATATTAAATATAACCTACTTTATAAAAAAAAACTCAAGTACAAAAGATAAAATTAATTACGTTATTCTACGTAAAATATTCGTATAGTTTATATAAATTTTAATTAAACTATTTATATTATAATTTTATTAGTATTACATTTATCAAACTATTAATCAATTGATAATAAAATATTTATCAAGTTATTTAAAAGATAAAATAAATGTTAAAATATCTATTTAGTTTGACTAATAAAATTCTATTTAAACAGACAAGTGATTGCTTAAAGAAGAAATTATTTGAAATTCTATTTTCAATTTTTTTAAGTGCTTCATTTTCTATATTTTTGTTCATAGAAAATAAATAAAAGACTGGAATTTTTATCCACAAAATTATTTATAAAATTGAGAAAAAAATTTTTGTCAAACAAATTTTTTTCTCATCAACACTTATAAGAACATATTTAAAAAAAATACATCTTCTTCATTTTTCGCATTTTATTCATCGTTATCGCAGCAAAGAAAATAAATTTCAATTGTGAAAGCCATGAAAACAACTGAAAAAAGATTGATGGTAATACCAAGTGCATACACAATGAAATTCAATGAGTCGAAAGGGGGTTAATTAAATGTACTTTTCGAGATTCACAAGTTACAAAGAATAATATTGCATTAAAAACATCAATATTTTAAGAATATACGAAAATCATTAGTGATAACTAAGGAAAAATTTATTGAAAAAATAATAGAGTTAATGCATCAAAAAGTGAATGCTCAAGCTCACGTTTTGAATTCCTCGTATCATAATATTATCTTGATTTTTAACAATCATTTGAAATCCACAGCAATAACAGCCAAGAAAGCCCAATCATTACGTCACATGGATTTTGCTGAAAACGAGCATGTGAAATAATAGTCATTCAAACTTCTCGTTTCTTAATAATATTGTAGAAAAATACAGGGATTTAAAAAATACATGCGCATATCAGTAGCAAATACTTGTGAAAAAGTAAATTAAAAAAACGAGGTATCATAACGTCAAAAAGTGACTAATGAATGCAAGAACTGAATTTTAATAATATTTTGAATAATACTGAACTGAATTTAAATAATAATATATAAACAAAACTGAAATTAAAAAAAGAATAAAACATTGAGAAAATTTGCAGCAATAATAGCCGATAAAACTATCGAAACACCACGTTTATTTACGATGGTATCGACCACATCAAAAAGTGATGACTTAAATGCGTGATTCAAATTTTGAGAGGCATAACAATACCAGAATTTTAATAACCATAAGAAAATCAATTGAATTAACTGTAAAAGAAAAGTTCAAAGATTCGAAGCACGGATTTAATGATGATATCGAGTGTGTTGAAAAGTGATAACTGAAAAGCATGATTTGAAATCGTAATATCCCATTAAAAATTAATTAGATCTACTAGTAGCCAAATAAAAAAAGAAGGCAAATATTGTCACATTGATTAATTAATTCTTTTCTTACAAATCTGAATTTGAGGCAAAATTGCTAGCGATTAAAATATAAGTTTAAACACAAATGAAAAAAAAAGAGATTTTTTTTCCAGCGAACAATCTCTAAATATTTGCCATTTCAGAATTATTTTTAGATTATCAGTTTTATACTTTTGTGTTTGCCTCAATAATTCATTCATTTCAGATGAAATTATGGATTATATATTTCTTTGGTCTTGTGTTCTTGAAGTTTACCAGAAGTTGTGACTTTCTCAAACAAATCTGCGTTAAAAAAGTTAGGATCACACCTGAATGAGAACTTAAGAAAAAAGGGGGGTGCTAGTAAGGGTGGAATAAAAGTCTTGTTAACAAGATTTTGCACAAGTAACCAAATTTAAGTTTTAGATTAGCGAAACTCTGAGGAAAGTTTGTCAGAATATAAATTAGAAAAAACGATCTTGAGAGCAATGGAATTCCACTAATTAGCAGAAAAATCAGGTGCCAGACTAAATTACTTATTCTATAGTTTAACTGATGGAATATTAATTGAACTATTTATATTACAGATTGAATAATAAAATATTTATCAAACTATCAGAAATAAATTAAGTGAAATATTATGCTGTTCACTATGAATTGAACTATTTATTAAATACTCAACAATTCAATAACTAAATTTTTCTGTATAAAAATGTTACTTTTGTAAAGGAACCTACCTTCGACTGGGACTAAAGGAACTTCAACTCTCAACAATACAGGTGCACCCCAGCTGTTGAATTCAGGACTTTTACTGTAATTTTCCCCATATAATTTACCTGCACATAATCATAAATTTAATAATTAAAATTTGGTTTATTTAAAAAAAAATACAAAACATTTATACAAACAATCTATAGCTTTTAAGCAAAAATATAGCATTTTTAGAATTATGATTGAAGCTGGAACAATAATGTACCATTACTGTACATTGATTTGATAAAAATGTAAATTTTATTATAATTATTTACAATTAACATTTCAATTACACAATATTATTAAATTTGAAATTCTACCTTTTATTAATTACAAATTTTGAATTATCCAATTTATAGAATTACCTTGCGCAAATCCATTTTTTTAGACCAATCCAAATTAATGGGCAAATCCTAAGTTTCAGTACGAGTGTGTTAAAAAATATTATCCACTTCTTTGCAGTCTACATTGTAATTTCAAGTTTTGTAATCTGGCAAATTATTTTTGAATATTTTGCAGTCATTTCTGCAAGGCTCGGGAGATAGAACACTCGCCTGTCCACGAGGTGATCAGGCTTTGAATCCCAAAGATGACTGGTCCAGATAAATTCTATACCCGGCTCGCACCAGCCACAGTGCCAATGTAAAATATCCTCAGTGGTAGATGGATCATGGGTCCCCTTACCATTGGGCTAACAGGGGGAGGTTTTCCACCTCCATGTAACTGTATAACCATCGAAATGTCCTCCAAGAAGGCAAAATTTCTCCCAATACTTGATCCAAGAGTTCCCTTGTCTTCTGGATCGGGTTGAAAATTATAAGACTACGGAATTGAACATTTGTAGTCGTTAACTCAAAAACTGAGACAGATGTTCGACAACGGATGTAAAATAAAATCCAATTTAAAAGACAATAGAACTGAGTAAAGTATCAGAAAAAACCTTTTCCATCAATGAAAAGAAAAATCGAGAAATGTGTTATATGAAAAAGAAAGCATTTTATTTAAAACAATGGATAACAATTATTAATTGTCATGCAGAAATATGCATAACATATTTCCTAACATTTAAAAAGTATATTATCATCTTATTTGATTTTCTCAATAAATAAAAATCATTCCTTTTGTACCACAACCTTGAATTGAGTGCTGAATAAAACCTATTTTTAGAGATTCCCTTTACAGAGTGCATAGCCAAATTATTCAACAAAAAATAAGCACCTTTTAAGCAGTCAAAAAATATTTTTAAGCACTTTAAAAAAGTATCATAATTAGGCAGGGTTGGAAAGGTTTTGACAATAGACGGTTTTATCCTGTTTTAACCGTCATGTCAAAAAGAAAACTTTTGTCATTATTTTTGACAATTGTCAAAAATCATAAAATATTGAATCGAATGGCGTTTTTATACGCCATGGACTGACAATACGTCAAAATAGATTTTTGCATAAATCGAAGTTAAAATCAACATAGTGAAGGAAAAATCTCATTTTGAAAAAGGGAAAATGAAGCACTTTTTAAAAACACTCAATGAAAAGAGCACTTTTTAAAAACGCTATGGACCCTGCTTTACATCACCCTCTGACACATTTGCGTAGAATTTGAAATCTGTTGTATGGTTTTCAAAATGTTTTATTAAAATTTGTTGCTTCTCACACTTTCTTTTTCCGGCAACACATTAAAATGTGTATGAAAATGTGTATGTGCCTTCATAATAAATTAAAGCAAACTAATAGACATGGATTCCGTAACTTGTCTTGGCCTCCAAAGTTATACATGTCATTTTTGATTTCTTGACGGACGGAGGTGTCCTGTTGGCCTTGCAGCCACATTCTTTGGGTCATTTTCAAAGTTCACTATTTTATTAATTCATACGAACAGTACACCAAAAAAATAATTAATTATGTACCCTGAATAATTTTTGATCTAGTGATTGTATCTTCACGTTTAGGATTCCATCTTAGTAATTCGAGGGGGTGACCTCAAATATGCGAAGAAATCATACCAAAAATGTTCTTCCTCTGAATAAACATACCTTTTTTCAACAGATTCAGATTTCATGCCCCCTAATATAGGGATTCGGACCCCCAAAACAGAGAGAGTAGTCGCAATTTGAGAAATATAGCTCACATAATTTTATCAAGAGAGCGCTCCAAAATTTGGACCCTTTAATGTTAGCTTTACTTTTCACATATTTCACCATATCCAGGGAACTTTTTAAACGAATTGAAAAAATTTTGCACAAAATTACAAAATTCTTTTGTCTAACTAATAATTATATGCAAAAAATAAATTTTAGTAAATATTTGTTATTATTTTATTTAATAATGTTTAAAAAAAATTTAGAATTGTAAGGTATACAGTCATTATTTCAAAGTATGTAATTTTACATGGCAAAATACAAAATTGGTTGAAAAGTTCCTGAGATATTGCATTTTAGAAAAGTCGTATATCTAAAATCAATTTCTCAGTTCAACATATTTCATTTAAATTAATTTATATTTTACCAAGTAAAATTGCATCCTCAAAAGTGATATCAAAAATTTTATACTTTACAAGTCAAAATTTTTTAGTCCAACAAAGTAAAAATATTTACCAAAAGTTATATTTTGCATTTAATTATTTTTGGACAAACAAATTTTATTATGTGTGCAAAGATTTTTTTTAATTTGCATTCTAAAGATATGACAAAATACATGAAAAGTAAAATTAAGGGGTCGAAACTTTGATTTGCTGACCTCACCATGGAGTCCACATTTCCCAGATTAGGGCTCCCCTCCTACATTTCAAAGATCAGAAATCCGAATCGGTTGGGAAAAAAAGGGTGTTTATTCAGAGAAAGTACATTTTTGTGTCTGATTTTGAAACTTAAAATATAGCCTGCACTTATTAATTAGCCTATTTGAGGGCACCCCCTGGAATCATTAAGATTGATTCCTAGAATGTGAAGATCCGATCATTAGATCAAAGGCTAATCATGGAGGTACGCTTTACTTGGCACACTGTAAAATTAAAAATTAAGAATAATTTTTATTTTGCGGGACCTCCAGGTTTACAAAATTAAAAGATTTTTATTGTTCATCAAATTTGTTTTCTTCATTTATGGAATTTATGATTTTTAATAAATAATTGCTCATCTTTATCACTCAGCAGAATAGAATAATTGGACAAATGGATAATTTCCTTTAATAATTCTTCAAGCACTGTTTCCCCACAAACAATTACTATTTCTTCAACTAATCAGCATCAACAAAACAATTATTTCATCATACATAATTTTAAATCTATAGTCTACTTCAATGGCAAAATTAAGAAAGACAGACCTTCAGAAATAGTTATTTAGGAATCCAAATTAGCTTAGTGTACATTTCTAAATATACACATAATAAGGCAAAACAATGATTTCAACAAACAATGGAGCAGAGCTTAAATGCTTTAAAAACAAAGTAAAAAGTCAAATTAGTGCAAAAAAAACTAGACAATGCTTGCATTCCCTAAATAACCATAATTACTTATTGAGGTGTAAAATTTTATAATATTATATAGTTGTACTCCTTTATATTATAGTTAGTTTATATAATAGTTTATATATATAATAGATAGTTTATATTATATAGTTGTACCTCCTTTCTGTGTGGCCATAGTCCACATGTCTCTCCAACCAATGACCTGAGCTTTTTTGCTGCCTAACCGCTTCAATAATTCCCTAGCAGGTTGCTTCATCTGGAATGTTCCCTCATCCTGTACACAAACACAATCACAGTTAAATACATTAAATTTAGAAATTTCTTTTACAATATTCAGAACACTATATGCGATTAACATGGGCTATAGGTGGCAACACTTTGAGCGCTTTTACCATTAGCGTGTGAATAGTCATAGGAGATGAAAGTACGTTAGTTTCTGTCTGGATTTTCTAATAGATTAAAAACTGTAAAATTAAAAACAAACTGAAAACATCAAATAGGGTGGTGTATATAAATGTACGTATGTGTGTATACCTTTAATATTTCATATATGCGTGTAGTTAAAATAATAAAGGTATATTTAACTACTAAAGATTTAATAAAAAATAAAGAATATAATACTTTTTTTCATCTATAAATACAATAAAGCTAAAACCATATAAATATGCTTATAATGCAACATAAAATAAATAATTGAATGGATTTAATTTTAAATGAATTTTAAATAATTTTTAATTATGCTCTTTTATCAATTTTGAAAACATACTCAATAAAAACAATATAGATTTGTTCAGGCAGACAACAGAAAAAAAAACTAATTTCCACTTATGCTTTTGATTGTAGCAAGCATAGTGTATATGTAAGCTGTTAAGTGTAAATAAAAGCATAATTAACAATATTTAAAAAACTATCTGAATATGAAAATGATAGTTTATAAAATTTTTAGGGACATTATAGCTTGACTTTAAATTTACTCACATTTATTATTTTATATTTTTATTTCATAAATATATTCATTTAAAGTAACACAGATTCACATTAGCACAATTAAACTCAAAAGATTGAGGTAAATTTTATTATTTTTCATTCGGTTAAATTTCAATTATATGCACTTACATAAATAACAAACTTCCCCCCCCCCAAAAAAAAAGTCCAATCTAACATCAAGAATCATATATTCTAATGGACTTGCTAAAAACAGCAAAACAGCAGTTCGTATGGAGCATTGTTGAATACATAATATAGGGTATTCTCACGAACACACTGGATGAAGCCTATTTGAGTCTTTAGATTGTGAGTCTTGCTACAGTCATATTCTCGCCAAAAGGAATGATAAGGAAATCTAATTAGTCTATTATACAGGATAGCTGCATTCCTTTTAATTAAATTAGTCAACGGTTGTTGATCACAAAGTAATTGCATAGCAAGTATGGGGGTAGTTTAAACTCCTCCTGAAATCATACTCAATACCTGGTTTTGGAAGGTATCAAGGAGTTTTAAGACTCCATCCGAAGCCGAGATCAACACTTCATTGCAATAATTCAAAATCAGTTGAATATAGATCTTGTAAGTTGAGTTTAAAGTATCTTTTCCGCACCCCCATTTAACTCCTGCTAGTCTCTTAAGGATTAAGAGTCTCTTCTTTGCCATTGTTATGACATGCTCAACATGTCTGTTCCATTTTAGTCTGCAATCAAAGATGCAGCCCCGATAAGTTGAAACATCATTATGTTGCAAAGTAGTACCCTTAAAAACAAGGCGGGGAGAGAAAGGTTGTCTATTTAAAGTAAAAAAATTGACTTCTTTAAGGTTTACAGTCTGTTATCCATACACCAACAATCGAGTCTTTTAAGAGTCTAATTTAGGGTGATATTTAATCCGGATTGGTCCTTTTCCTTCTCTAATGTTAATTTCATTTTTTGTGTATTTTGTCATATTTTGAGAACTTTTAATACGAATGAAAAACTTTTGCACAAAATTATAAAATTGATTTATACAACGAGAATCCCATACTAAAAATAAAATATTTTATTAAAATTTATTTAATAATAGTTGAAAAATGTTGAATCGTAAGGTATACAATGTTTCACATTATTTTAAAGTATCTAAGTTTACATGGAAAAATACAAAATGCGAGCGACATCGGTTGAACAATTCCTGAGAAATTGAATTTTAAAAATACGATTTTTTAAAATTCGATTTCTCAGAAACTATTCAACCAATCTCTCTCAAATTTCGTATTTTGGTATAATTCTTATATTTGTAAAATTAGATACTTTAAAAGGATGAAAAAAATTGTATTCCTTAGAATTCAAAATTTTTTTGACTATTATTAGATAAAATATTTAAAAAATAAATATTTACCAAAATTTATTTTTTGCTTGAAATTATCTTTGGATAAATGAATCTTATAATTGTGTGAAAAATTTTCAATTTGCTTAAGAAGTTCTCGAGATAAGGCAAAATATGCAAAATGTAAAATTAACATTAAGGGGTGCAAACTTTGGACCGCTCACCTGACGATATTATTGGGTCCATATTTTGGGGGCCAGAAACCCAGATCTGAAAAAAAAGGTATGTTTATTCAGAGAAAGTACGTTTTTGAGTCTGATTTTGTAGTTTAAATTATATAAACTAGCATATTTGAGGGATCTCCTCCTCGAATCACTAAGATTGTGTAGTAGAACGTGAAGATCCGATCATTAGATCAAAAGTTATTCTGTTTTTTGGGTGCACTGTACATGTATATAATATATATGAACATCGGATGTATATATGTACAATATAAGCGTGTCAAATGTATGTATGCACATACGTAAAATATATGCATATACAATGCGAAAAATAAAGAACGGATTACCTCCAATAACTTTTGATCTAATGATTTTCAAGTTCTCGAACTCATTCTTAATGGTTCGAGGGAGTGACTCATGCTAATTAATTAGTGCAACGACTTTTTTAATTTAAGAAATCAGTACCCAAAACTTATTTTCTCTGAATAAATATATCTTTCTTATAACCGATTCGGATTTCTGACCAACAAAATATAGGGGATCGGTGCCATCTGGAAAGCATGGTTCCAATAGATCAGTCAGAAGTGCGGGCCAAAGTTCGGACACCTTAATATTAATTTAACCCCTTCGCGACGGGAAAAGCGCGAAAACGCACTTAACGCTGAGGCCGGCAGTCTCTCCAGGACGGAAGGGTTTTTTGCTGTTAAGCCTAATTCCATTAAATTACCAAAATATCAAAGCGTTGTTTAATATTGTTCTGTAGAGTATTTAAATGACATATGCTTTATATATATTTCTAGGGATACTTTATTTACTTAAATTATTTCTTGCCCAAATATATATTATTTTACTCATTTTATTTTCATTATGTACTTATCATTTAATAGCATTTAACATTACATATCATTAACATGCAAAAAAGTATGTTTCTTCAGAGAAAATACCTCTTTGTGCATGATTAACTTAAAATATCATCTGCACCTTATTTCTGGTATCAAATAGGAAACATCACAAATCAGGCAAGTAGGAAAAGGAATACATTTTAAGGTTTTGAATATAAAAATGATGGAATTGAATCACTTTTATATATTGCCTTCAATTAATCACATTGAAAATTGCTAACAAGGTGGTATCTTTAAAATCTGTGTAAATGATGTATGTTTACTTTTATGGTAAAAATGAGTATTCTTCCATCTGAGACCATGTTGAGGAACAAAGACATTGCCTCATCTTCATGCGGTGAGTATGTGTCAAACATGCGTTGAGCCATCACGCTCCCCTGAAAACATATTCATAGACATCAGTGAAAATAACTTAAATTAATAATAATTTTAAGGTTGAATTCAAAACATTACCGTTGCTTGATTTAGGACTAGTACATGGATTCCCCTCCCTTTGTTGTCTTCAGCATCTTCCAAAATCTGTAATAGTTCATTCACACAGTTTGCATTTATGAAATTCTAATTAGAGAAAGGTATTAATCTCTATGTAGGCATAGAAGAAAATTATGGACGAATTTAATATTGAAAAAGTAACACTTAGATAAATTAAAAATTATACAACACTGAAATTTTATACTTAATATAAAATAATAAAATTAAATCCAAGTTCTAGTTTTAGTTCTAATTTATGCTCTTTTGCTTTTCTATAAGGAGAGACGATTAAGTTCTAAAACAAATAGTTTGAAAGATTAGATTTCTTTATTTCTTGCTTCCTTCAAATTGTTTTTCTTTTCTAGTTATTATTCTTAGAATTGTTTAAGGAACAGAAATTTTTTTTAAATAATTATTATAAAAAATTAAAAATTTATAATAAAAATCATAAAATCTCTAGATAAAAGCTATAGTATATTAGTATTAAAAGGTAAATTATCAGCAAGAAACGTGCAGCTTTTTATAAAGGTTAAAAAAACTTTATCAAAGCTGTAGTTTTTACACAGGGGTTACACAGCTTTCATAAAGTTTTTTTTTTTTTTTTTTTGCCTCAATAAAAGCTTGTGCCAATTCTTTTTTTTTTTTTAAGGTTGCACACAGGATTTTTGAGTTGGATAAAACAGCAGTTTCATAAGATTACATGGTGCTTGCAACAAAAAATAAGCATCTTTTAATAAGTACTTTTTAAGCACTCAAAACATATTTTTAAGCACTATATACATTAACAAAATGCAAAATAATTTTCAAAGACAATTACATAATCGTGATAAAATAATTAGTTTTTGATTAACTCTTTTTCTTTTTTATTATATTAGCCATTAAAAAATGATCTAAGAAATTTCAGACGGTGGAGAATGAAGCTTGAAATTGAGAATATCTTGCAAAATGCAGAAGAGTTGCACATGAGAGTGCAATAATCTCACAGAGCCCAGCTCAGTAGACGCACAAGCGGACTCGCAAGTATTTCATAAAATCCGTAAAATGATTAGCACTTTCATATGCTGTGGACTGACGGTACGCTGAAATAAATTGTGAAAGTGTTGAATAGAACAATGTGAAATGCAACGTTTTGCATAATATGTGGGGAAAATTGACATGGCAAAGAAAAAAATCTCATTTTCAAAAAGGGAAAATTAAACACTTGTTAAAAACACCCAATGAAAAAAGCACCTTGAAGGGCTTTTAAAAAAGGAAAATCGAAAATAAGCACTTTTTAAAAACACTAAGCACCATGGATTAAGCCTTTTGCAAGCATTAACTTGCATAAAATTTGTACTATTTTTAAAATCATTTTAAAGAAGAAAGCAGTTATTTTTGACACAATCTGTAACTGCAATACTCGACATCAGCAGCTGATTTTAAACAAAATTCAATTAAAGGTTCAGCCTACTACGAATTCAAATCCACATCAATCATTAAAATTTAAACAAAATTTTTAGAAATTTTTTTAACACTACAAGGCTTAAAAAAAGAAAACGTGGAAATGTTACAAAACGTGGAAAATACTGACGAGTTCCATAAGCTCCTCAATGTAATCAAATAGTTGTTTCATCATAAACAAATTTTTAATCGTTTTAGTTTTTTGAAGTGATTATTTCCTAACTTAAAAAAATCTTTTAATGAGAGAAAACAAAAAATTAAATTTTACAAAAAAGAAAGAAAGCAACTCAGTCATCTATACAATAAATTTAGTAAATAAGAATGAAATATCAATTCATAGCAAATAGGAATGCAATGACATATAACAATGAAAGATGAGTTCTTACAGTTGTGCCATCAACTGAGACTGATACTTTTGATTGACTGGAAAGTACTTCTACAGTTAATGTTTTAGGCAAACTCTCCTGCAGCCTGAAGCTGTTATGGCGATTTTCTCCTCCATCTAGTCCATCTGAATCGCCTTCAAAAACATACATCATCATCATTATTAAATATGTACAGTAATGTAAACAATTTTAAGCAACATTTTTAATATATTAAGTAGTTTAGATCAGAAAATGTTAAATGTTGTAAATAGTTTATGCTAATAATTTTTCTCACTCTCGAATTAGAAGATTTCCTCTTTTATTGAACTATGGAATTATACAAATATTCCACTTTTAGGACTCCCTTAATATTTTATTGAAAAATGTTTAAGTACTGGTTGCCAATTTTAAAAAAAAAGCTTTCTGAAAAATATTTACTGAGTAAAACTATTGTGAATCACGTCATTTTTGTGTTAAAAAATGCCTATTTATGAGCTGACTAAACAGATAGTGAATTTAATGCATTCCTATGTCTCTGGACAATGGAGTCTATATTTTCGATTAATTTAAATAGTACTACAGTTAATTGTGGAAAATGAAGTGATTCAAATACAGACGTTATTAGAGCATAACAATCCCAAATTGTACTCCTCTATCAAAAACCAATCTAGCAGAGAAAAAAAAAACTAGTGAACTGGAAACATTAAAAAAAATTCTTTTCTTTAGTCTCCCCCACCCCCATAAAAAATGGTAAATGATATTTTGAGCACTGAACAAACATTTAAATGTCAGATTTAACAAAACTTTGGATTTCAAGGCAAAATGAAAGAAACAGTTTTTTTTTTTAAATGAAATTATTGGAATTATTTGTAGGACTGATCAGAATTTCCATGCTTTAAATAATCACGCAAACCATTCCTTTTTCAATCATTCATAATCGAAACATGATAGTATTACAGGGTATCTGCTACATTTTAGATTTTCAAATCCATGACTTTCTATGACTAATTCCAAGAATTATCATGACATAACTATTTTCTCCGACAAAAATACAACACTAAATTTAAAAAGGCATTATAATAACATTAATTGAAATGATAGGTATTACGGAAACTGTTATACTCTGCACCTTCATATTTATTTTAAATTTAAAAACAGAGTAAAGAAAGAGTTGAAGCAATAAAATAGCTGAAAAAAATACAAAAGGAAATAATTTTTTTCTTCTTTTTTTTTCTGCAGAATTATATTCTAAAGATACTTTTCTTGTTCATCTGAAAGCAAAGAAATACTCCTGATTTTTCTGTTCCCTTCGGAATAAAAAAAAAAAAATTCGACAATGACTGGCTTGCTTCAGATAGAATTTTAAAACAATAAAAAAAATCTGGAATCCCAGAAATTAAAAGATAATTCGCTCTAGAAATGATGTTTTTTTTTTTTCTTTCCATTTCTTAAGAACACCACAATTTTTAAAAAACATGATAAAAACATTTTATATTTTAATAAAATATGATAGTGTGAGGGGGGGGGATTTTGTTAAGAATTCAGATATTCTGAACACCATGAAATTAGGGGGGGGGATTCCATTTTAAAAATTAGATTTTTTGGCAACCTAAATCTATGATTTTGTTCAATAGCAAAATTTATAAATTTCCATGACTTTCCAGGTGCACAGATACCCTAAGTATTATATATATATATATATTAGCAGAATAGTATTAAAATAATTCCTATTTAAAATTCATAAAACTTTTAATAATTCAAGAAATAGAAATAATACCTGAAGTACAATATCAAATAAATATTGCATCTTACTTTGTACTATGGTTTTGTTTTAATTTTTGTTTATACCCTATAAGTTTTCCTCTATTAAAATATTTATTTTGACTTCCTATTACTCATTAAAATATGTTTTTATTTATTTTCTTTATACTTTCATTCTGTGAGCATGAGTGCTTTTTTCCCCCTTTCTTTTGTGTAACGTAAGGAATAGTGATTTGAAAGAATAGCCTAATACTGAATAATAGGACCAAAAAAAAAAAAAANAAAAAAAAAAAAAAAAAAGATCGACCGAATACCGAATATTGGGCTGCCGAATAGTTAAATTTTTAAAAAAATTTAAAATCATTAATAAATATTTTTTACATATAAATAAATTTAATCATTATTGATAATCAATTAAAACTTTGCTATATTGTTTGTAAAGGGTAAAAAATTAGAGTTATTCATAAAAACATCTTAGATAAATAAAAATAAAAAACTGACTAACAATTATTTAAAAAAAAAAATAAAAAAAAAATTTAAAAAAAAACTGAAGTTGTTAAGTTAATAAATAGAAAACGAGAAATGGAAAAAAAAACCCTCTTAATTTTAACACAAAACTTTAATGCTAAAAATATTTTCCGGAAAAAAGTAACCATAAAACGTTAAAAGAAAGTTAGCCTATGATAAACGCTTTCAAAAATGCAGAGCTATCATACACAACGCCCATAAAAACAAAAGATAATATACAAAAGCGAAAAATAAAAAAATACAAAACAATCTTAATTCTCGAAAGAAAATTTTAAAACTGAACATCTGTTTTCTGATAACGGTGTTTTCAAAAAATAGTAAAACGAAAAAAAAAGAAAGAAAGAAACTCTTAATAGAAAACTTTTAGTGGCCACGTTATAATAAAAACGTTGATGAAAGCATAGGTTTTTGATAAAAGAAAAAATTTAATAGAAACTAAAAGAAAAATAGTGTTTAAATTTAAGACGAAAATTTTAGTTCTAAAAATCTCAATTCAACTGTCATATAACCATCATTGAACAGCCTATCCAATTCACGACTTCTAATGTTCAACTCCATATAATTTTGAACCCACTCCAGAATTGGGGATAATTATTACGAATCCACTACAAGGAACTCCTGGGTCAAGTATTGGGAAAAATTTGCCTTCGTGGCGGACTTTTTGATGGAACTAACCCGAATTTGCGCTACATGGAGAGGAACACCACGAAAACCTCTAAGTTTAGTTGAGGGCTAAGGGACTTCAACCCATCATCCATCTACCAATGAGGATATTTTAAGTCAGCACTGTGATCGATACGAGCCGGGTGCAGAATTCGTATCGACTAGCCATCGCTGAGATTCGAACCCGGTTCACCTCATTGGAAAGCGAACGCTGTATCCCCAGAGCCACCACGGCTCTAACTGTTTCACACTGTCGTATTTTTAGAAGAAGGGAAAAAAAAGTGTCGATAAAAGAATAACGTTTAATAAGATACGCAATAACGTTAATAACAACAATATAACACTCGTATATATTTTTCTAAAACTAAATAACCAGCAACAAATAAATAAAACTTCTTCTGAAATAATATGCTTACCTAGAGATGGGATATCTTCTTGTAATTTTCGACTTGTATCCAAAATGAAGAGGACGTTTATGACTACAGTAATAATTAAAACAACAAGTAACAAGAGCTGTAAAGTAAAACGACCATTTTATAATTATAAACCAAGTAAGATCAACACATAGATTTCAACTCATTACTTTAAAGCAGCAGTTTTCAACTTTTTTCGGCTATGGAACTTTAAATGATTGATTTTTTCTGAATTAATAAAAAAAGTTCATTAGCAACTGTGGATAAAAAATATAAAAAAGATAACTCTATATTTTGAAAATATTCAACAAGACTAATAGAATATATTAATTTGTTCTTAGTTTACGCTGATGCCGAAAATGAATAAAATTAGTTGAATTATAGTTTTCAAAAGAAAACAGAATTGTTATAAGAATTCTTTATTCTTGAATGGGATTATTTTATTTTGAACTGAAAAGCTCGATGAGAAATATTTGTTGAATTTTTTATAAAAGCACATTTTTTTCAATATATTCCTAATGAAATTTTTTTTTCAAATGTAGTTACTTCATTTTTTAAATGTTTTTATTTAAATATTTGCATGTTTCACGTCCGAACTCTTGGAACCTCTGTGATCTCTCTACTTTAGAATTCCATTGTAGACCTTTTGGGAGCTTTATGCTGCTGTGTATTCATAAAAAATAGTAAAAATAAAATAGACATTAATGCAAGTGGGCATGCTTCGTAGTGGGCAAAAAAAAAATCAATACATTTTTTTTTGAAGCAGTATTCATACACCAGCCAATTTCTACAAAAGCAAACAGCAAGCTAAAAAAGTATAATAACCTTTGCTTAAGTGTCTTTATATTACTATATGTATAAATTAGAATCAATAATTCGTATGAAATATACGAATCACTCTCCATCCTACAAGTTACTGCTTAAATAACCAACTTCTGGATTTTAACAGAATGGCTGAAAAGGTTTCAACAATAGTGATATGCCTGAACCCTGCATACTTAATGAGTAGCCATAGAGTTTTGCGATTTCTAATAGTATTATTAATTAAAATAAAAAAGATGTTGGATTAAAAGTTCAAATTTTTCGATTCTTTAAATCTATGCACTCTTAAATGGGATGCTATGAAGATGCACTAAAATCAGAAGTATAAGGACAAGATATTTCTGTAGCAGGAATAGTAGGACAACAACAAACCCTGATCAATGTAATAAAAACTGTTCATTAATTACTATTTTTAGCGATAGTTTTTTATTTCTAATGTCAGATGATGAACAGTTACAGCAGAAAACAATAAAAAGAAAGATCACAGAGTTCAATAGTCTCCAGCCTCCCAATGACGCTCGACGAGAAAAGACTTGTCCAGAGCAGGACAGTGGAGTATTCATGACCTCTCCAGAGCTGCACATCGGGGAAGGAACAATTTTCAGTCTATAAAGATGGTCTCTTAGGCCGTCGTGTGAGGTAGCTAGGCGGAATCCAGCCATTACACAAATTTGGAATAGCATTCTTTTGAGAAACACGATTCCTGTGCACGGGCTTTAATAAGATCTTTAATAATATGGAAGGGCAGAGGACAAGATATGAAAGCACCCTTTTTAAGTCGACTTTCTCGTTGCCTGGAAGTTTTCTCAAGAGATGCCCCCAGGTTCTTAAGATGATAAAGGCAATCCCCTGTGTTATGGGATTATTGTCAGAAACGATAGAGCACCTCTAGAATGGATCTGGTAGATTTTTCTCAGTGGCATTGCAGTACGGATCGCAGCAACGTCAAACGAAGTACCCTGTCCCACAGGGACGTAGAAAGAAAAAATGTCGGAGAAAACTTCGGCACCTGCGTTAGGGCTATCAGAGAGGAGGGATCCATCGGTAAAGACCCGGAGTCACTCTGGTTTAGGGTCAAAAATATTGAATACTTCGAGAGCTATCAAAATAGAAGGGTCCGTATTACTTTTAGTTATCTTTTGACCCAAATCAAGATGAATCCAGAAAGACTTCAAATGTAATGGATTTTGTGGTGGGATGAGCAATTCTGGTTCATAGTTTAAACCAAGTGAATTTTTTACCTGAAGAACTCCCTGTAGAGAGCCCTTCTGGGTCTTAAAATTTCTTGTCAGGTCTAGATTGACTTCATTCCAGAGTGAAAACACTCAGGTACTTTAATCAGGGGTCTGTTTAGAAGAAATTTGGGTCCGTTAACGGACCCTTCACAAAATATCTTTTCATAAAAACGGACCCTTCACAAAATATTTTAACTTAAAGACGGATGTAAACGAACTAAGTTTTGCCTTCGGCAGACGCTTCTTCCATTATTCGTCCGAAATAAATATTCTTTGTTGCGCAGAATAGGCAAAATACCAAATATTTGTATGTTGCCTGTCTAATTTAGTAGCAGCAGTTGCTGTTTAATTTTGAAAAATTAAATTTTTTTTCATTATAATTTTACAGTGTTGAACATAATCTTGTATCTATTTACAATTTGAAAACTACTTTAAAAAGTTTTTTTGCAATAGCCGGACCTTATTCGCACAAATTTACAAAAGCGGACCCTGGTTGAAAGAATGTGACTTAAAGCTTTTTTTATGTTCACAAGTTACGAGTAATTTTTTCACAATTTTACAAAAACAGGATCTTTCACAAAATGCCTGGACAGACCCCTGCTAATGATCCTTTCCCAGAGTATTAAAGCCTTCTCTCAGGGATGAGATTGGCCAAAAGGCAAAAAAGCTGAATTTCCAAGCAAGTAAATTTTACGNGTAGGGGGAGAATGCACGTGGGATAGGTTTGTCCAGTGAAACTCCATCTTGGCGTTTGAGGGCACCGAGCCTCTTCATGGCACGGTGAGAAATGTCTTATGCATGGTGTTTCCATGTTTGTTTGCGGTCAAACGTCATTCCCAGATATTTAAAATCATCGTGCAAAGGGATTTGGATAATTATTACAACCATTGACACTTAAACTAACCATTCATAGTCCAATACAAAATGTTGCTTGATAAACAATTATTGAAAAATACTTTGAAGTTAATCAATCATTACTTACTAATTACAGTTTGGAGCACGTTGATCAGAAAAATTTGACGTACGATGGTATGGTTGTTTTTTTTCTTCGGAATAACCCTAAGAAATTAGTGTTCCAAAATTTCTTTAAAACGAAAAATAAATGCTTTCCATCAAGGTCACGTGGCTGTAAAGGAAAAAATCCACTTCAAAGGCTGAGTTGACTTAAAGAGCGGATCTGGGCATGATGAAATCTCTTATAGAGGGCAACAACTAATTGGCTGCTGAGTATGGAAACCACAACATAATTGAGACTCCCAAGTTTAGGTAACTACACTATCTAGACACCCGGTTGTAATGGTGGTGGAAGCTTAATGGTCCGGGTCCGTTAGTTCCTGGTGTCGGGACTGTGAGATGTATGCGGACAATGTGCACTTTATTTCTCTTCCATTCACACATCGAGGCATGTAGAGACGTCGTTTGAAGAAATAGGGGTTTCAAAAAGGCCTTCTCATAGCCCCGATCCCTTAAAACACTTTTGGGACAAATTAAGAGCCGAATACTCACTTCAGCTGTGATGAGGGCCCATTTCTCTTCCAGCGGGATAACACTCACACATCCGAGGTTTGCACAAACGTGGTTGGACGAAATGGGTGTTCAAAAACTGGCCTTCTAAGATCCCCACTTCCGTATCAAAAACTGGTGGAAAGTCTTCCCAGAAGAAAGGGGGGATCCATCTCACATAAATATGTGGACGCTCTAAAGTCCGGATATTTTTGGTCAGATAGTGTGGCTCCAAGATGCCAGAGAAAATACCACTCCTAAAGAAGAGATGTTCAAAAAGCTCATTTCACTCCCGACAGAGGGAAAAACGCAAACTCATGCTGATAGAATTTAAGAAAACAAAAGCTTCTCCTGCAATCATTCCATAACTCCATTTGGAGCGTTAGAAAAAAAAAAGAGGAAGAAATGGAACTACTTAAAGGTTGCTCATGAAGAGAATGTATTTAGACTTCATCTAATTTCTGCCAGAACCTAACCGTTATTACGACACTTGTTTCTGCCCTTCCAGTTCTTATCAGCAGCTTTTTTTTTTTTTTTAATTTTTCGAATGGTCAAAGAAGCTATGTAGTTCAAAGAAGCAGACAGAGCTGCAAAAAGGTACCAAGTAGAATTATGACGTAGCAGCAAAATGAATGAAGGGGAAAATGACAGAAGTGAAACCTGATGCCACAAACCTATTTATCAAAGTTTTTTTAAGAAATCTAAAATTAGAACACACACACACACATACCTGGAATAACTTGGAAAGCAACCTTCGAGGAGGCACTTGTTTCAGATAGGGGGCTCTTTTCAGTGCAAGTGGCTGGGATTTCCAGCCATCCATCGCTGCCATAGCAGAGCATGTGGCTGCAATTTCAGACTTAGATCTCCTGAAACAAAACAACCTCCTATTAAACTGGTTTCATCTAGGTGAGGGGTGCACAACCCGAAGCCCGAATAAGCTTCAGAACACAATGAAAAAAAAATTTTTTTTTTTTTTTGAAAAATAAAAAAATAAGTCGAATATTTTGAATTGAGCATTTGAGCCACCAATTTTTGATGTGGTTCAATGAGTACAGATTCTATTGTAAATCCATGTTGTTTCTCGATCGCTTTTTTCCGCGGACGTTGCTTTGAAATTCTGCGTGATTTATTGTTTTTTTTTTTCCTTTCTTTTTTTAAAACAATATTTTTAATATAATATTTGCCAACTTCGAATTTGAGCCATCATTTTAAGACTAGCTTTATTTTTGCCGATTTCGTCATAAATCGATTTTTGATCATTTTTTTTTAATAGTTTTTTTTGGCAATTATAACTTAATATCCCGGTAAATTAATACGATATTACGACTCGTGACATCGTTTTCATTTCAAAAAGTCAACAAGAGATGGGGCTATTCTAGGATTATACCAGTAAAAGATACTAGTTTAATTATGTTCAGCATTTTTTTTTTATTGCATGAAATGCCTACTCCTTCGCCATTCCCATGACTTTATACTTAAAGTTGGGTAGGTATCGTTAGCAAAATTCACACAATATGCATGACACACTTTAAAGCTAAATAATTGTGTGGTTTAAAATTTGTACAGCTAGTTCTTCAAATGTACTCGGAACAATGCTGGATAATCGACACGCTCTCAATAAACTAAATTTTATCAATCATTATCTGGTAAAACAAAACTTTTTTTTGCATTAGTGCTATTTAATCAATGATGAACAAATGCAGAGCTTTCCCTACGAACAACAACAACAACAAAAAAAAAAAAAGAGTTTTGAAAGGGCGCTCACTTAACCACCGTTAAAATTTATCAAAATATGAGTAATATTACGTAATAAATGAATTTGATCCTTAATTTTTAAATTATCTTATTGTGTGTATATTTCACAAAGTAATTCAGTATCAAAATAACAGAAAAATTTGAAGCTTCTGATGAATAATTAAAGGCAAACTAAAAGACAATCTCTGTGTATAAATTTTCTTCAAAAAAAACTTTTAAAAAATAATCGTAATTAATAAACACTTTTGACATTTTTTTTTTTTAATATTTCAAACTGATGAGAAAATAAACATTTACAGGTACATTTTTAAATAAAAGGTATTTATAAAAAAAAAAGGCAAAATTTAAAATCGCTAAAAAAAAAAACTTTTATATGTAAAGAAAATAAGAGAAATCAATTGCACATATAAAAAATAGTCTTCAAAAAGGGTAAATTAATACTGAGTTATTCATGTCTAATACATCGATATTTTACGATCAACAAATGTCCGACTTTATTACCGGTGTCGAACCCCTGATCTTGTACACTGGGTATTTTACCAACACCTCCTAGAAGTAGAAAGGCCTCAGCACGGATCAATTGAGTAGTCCGATGTGACGAAGTTAACTGCGCAGTTGACGAAAAATAAGAAAGATGTCATTACGTTAGGGGTACTAAGCTGCGCAGTGGTTGAAAATACAAAATATGTCATTACGTTTAGACTACTAAGGGATATTTATGGTAACCCGTGCTGAGGCCTGTTCTTTCTAGGAGGTGTTGATTTTACGCAATGCTCCAACAGAGAAGGGAAGGATTTACCACAAATCCTTCTTTAGATGCTTCAATAAAAATGTGATTTCTTTAGTGACAAGAAATGATACAACTTTCGTAGTCAATTTTCACAAAAATATTACAGAAATAAACGACTTTTAGGATGAATTAAAAAATACAAAATTGCTAAAAGAAGATGGGATTTTAATTACCTCCTTCTTTTTGCCGAGTTAGCTCTTTACTAAAAAGAAATTCATTTTAATTTATCATAATAATAAAATTTGATAGAGAAATTCTCATATAAGCAGAAGGGAAGAGTTCGTGATTTGCTTTTTTTTGCCCAAATTCACAAAAATTTGAACTATTCTTTTCAAAAGGAAAATTTTGCAAAACATCAGGTCATGTATATTTTTTTTAATAAAAATATAGTTTTCCAGCCCTTTTGGTTCACTGTCCACTAAGCTAATTCAAATAATTTTTTTCTTCTTCTTTAATTTCGATACGGCACACTTTTAAATCCACCGTTAATTTATTGAGAACTCCTACTAAATTATGTTGTTTTGTACCGAACTTTCCTTTTAGGAACGAAGCCCTAACGAAAAATAGAATTATTCGTTGCGAAGTTTTAAGTAGTGCATTTGAAATAAATTATTTTAAAAAGTCTCGAACTATTGCGTTCATGATTACTGTAAAAATATCAAACCCATGAGTCAAAAGTTCCAATTATCTGAATTCTGAGAAGCGAAAAAAAAAAAAAATCTCAAACTTATTTGTGCAAAATACTATTTGTGTTGCAAAAATTTTAATTTTTTGCATTTATTATAAAATCGGTTAATTTCAATTTGCTGTATGAATAACTGCTTTAATAATTATACAGTTAAATATGTATTGGTTTTTTATTACGAAATAAAATTATTAATTTTAAAGTATACACCCTATTTAAAAAAAAAATTTCTTCCCCGAGTTGTATACATCCTTTAGAACGTTAAGAACTTATGATTAAATGATTGTTCAAGATGACTGCAAACGGGAAAAATTTTTAAAAAAAAATTAAAGATTAAAGGAAAAACTTCTTATGTAGCAAAATATATTTGAAAGAAGATATATCTAGGCATTGAAACTTATTCCTGAAATTAAACTAGTCAACATTTCCACCATTCACCTCAGGACACATTTTCCACCACTTTTTAAATTTTCCCTGTTCATTATGATTTGCTAATTCTTGAAGATATCATCTTCCATTCGTATTTTTTTTTCTTCGAAAAAAACATTCAAGAAATTTTGTTGTGCTTATCTTTTGACGTGAAATTGTGAATAGGCTATCTTTTGACTTTTCTATTCCATTCATTTACAGAACTTCTTTGGATTCCCATTACTTTAATAGAGAGTATATCTCATTTATCTTCGTCATCACAAAATTTGCTTGAACAACCTTTCTTCTTAGAATGTCATTTTACTATTTTCAAATGTTTACGAATTATTTCCTGTGACAAACTGCCTCCAGAAGATTTCCTATACTTTATTAAGATGGACGGATCATTCCCAAAGAATGGTTGCGTAGAAACAAAATTATGAATGATTTTGAGTCGACTTGGCGTCTCACTTTTTCGATATACTTCCCGTTCCTTCATCAAATAGGACTTCTTTGGATCATAATTAATTTTACTCTCTCTCGTACTTGTGCATGGAACACTTTCCAAAAATGAGATGTTTTCTAAAAACATTTTCGGGATTTTTCATTAAAATGGTTCAGGTGGTATTTTAACTACTTTTGCGAGCTACTTTTTAGCCGTTACACATTTTTCTTTTAAAAAAATTGCACTTTTTCTCTATACTTTCAACTGCATAAAATTGTTTTAAATATTCACTAGTCTCGCATAATCTTTAGTGGCAGCAAAATGATTTTGTTCCCGCGTGTAAACGATGATTATTTATGCTCGCGTAAAGAAGAGGAGGAAAAAAAAAAAAAGACTTCTACTTTTACGAAATGTATCACAAGATAGAACGGAATTTTCTGTTAAGAATAAGAGAAAATATATTATTCTTTAGTAGGCAATCAATTTTCTGATCTAAACATAATAGGAGGTAGTTATAACCAAACCTTGTCAGCGATTATATAGCATATGAGGCTTCTTTCTTTAGTGGGCCCACTTGGCGAACCCTGCAATGTGGTAAACTTATCAGAAACTTGACAAAGCCAGCTTACCATAAATTCCATTCATCAGTTATTTTGATTCGATAATTTTCTTTTTTTAATTATAAAAATCGATGTTTCGTTTCAAGTAGTCTGATAATTTACACTTAATTTAGCAAAGCGAATGAACTTGAATAAAATATTCTATTTAACGAATGTCAAGTTTTATAAAAACATGTTTCTGATTAAATGTGGTTGTGCATCAGCTTTTTTTTAATACTTTAGTTGATTTATTCAATACCTGATACAATTCGAATATATATATATACATATTAGAGGCCGCTCCCAACGCAAATCAATAACTCTTGGCAGAAAACAGTTTTTTTTACTCAAATTAAAATTATTCACTCAACATATATGTACTAAAAGGAATTCTGTTGAATTGCGTTTAAATATCTATTAGTACTATAAATATTTAGATCTATTGGTGAACAGAAGTAATCATTTTTTTTAAAATAACATTATATTTTTTTCAAACCAATTTGGCGAGTTCATAACCGTAATTTAATATTTTTGTTCTCTAACAGATTTGTAACAGTTTGTTAATGATTTCAATTCTAATAAATACTTGTACATAAGTTTTACTTTTCTATTTCATAAAATAAATCATAATTTAACCAAGATCAATAAACAAAATTTCGCTCATTCATTTCCTTCCTTATGACTTCATTCTACATTGGAAAGAGAAAAAAAAACTCCTTTACAAAAAGTTAGCTCTAAAACTCAAATATATAATATATATATATATGTGTGTGTGGAAATAGGGTCAAAGGTGTTACAAAAAGAAAGTTCGAAATGGAGAAGCATGGTTGATTATCAGTCACTCATCACGGTCAATGGAAATCACCTTGAAAAAGAGTTTCTTTTTATTTATTTATTTATTCCAAAATACCTTCCGGGCGTACGCCGCATAACTTCACGCGTACAGATTAATTGGAGAAATGGGTCATCTTTCTTCTCTTCGTACCTCATAATCCAAATAAACCAGTCGAATTCCAACTTTTTATTTATTTATTTTTTATAAAAAAAAAAACATGTATCATTTATTTAGTTACTTTAACAGTAAATTGGAAGAACAGGATTGAATACATATCAATTTTGTTTTCTCCCAAAAAAGAGAATGTAGCAGGAACTTTTATGGAATTGAAGTTTTTTAATAATAAAAC